AATTCCTCATCCAATAGCTACGTCCAAATCGTACAGCAAGGTGGATTTTGAGGCATGAACAAAAAAGAAAATGGAAGAAGGAAATCCATGATGTATTGGATTCTTTCATATTGCGTAGCAATACTGTACACCTAACCTACTCCAACTTAATGTGTAGAGGTGTAAGAATGTTACAGGACTCCCCTAATTTGCATTGTTTGAGAATTCCGTGGTTCGTCTCAAACTTCAGCGAGCTACAGTAGATTTCATGTGACCGAGTATACAAAGAAAACGGTCATAAAATTTGGAATTGGACAGGACTGAACCTGAATATTCACGAGTTCCTGTAAAGTTCTGAACATTGAATGGCTCATTGCTTATTGCTGACATTCGCAATTTGGTAGCGGGAGTCTCTACCGACAAGACTCATTAGAATGCGCCAACAAGCAACCGTTATAGTAAGCCAATGAAAAGAAGTTCCGAGATACCACCCCTCGCTGCACGACATCCCACATCTCCGAGGGAATCAAAGGTGCGGAAGCTGGTCGAATTGGCTAGTGTAAGTCAGACTGCATGTCCAAAAAATTAATGAAACCGCTCTCGTCGATGTATGTATAAGCTTTTTTTGGTTCTTAAACCTATCCAAAGATAAATTTTTGGCCATTTCAATTCATTCAGCCACAACATGGACGACCTTCGAGATAAGGACTATTTCCAGAAACGTGCATCGGAGGAGATGGCGCAGCATCTGCCTACCCAGCAGCGAACCTTGAAAGAGACATTAGCCCAGGCCTGTCGCATCATTGCCCTACACGAGGGAGAGACCGGTCTTGCTGGACAGATCTCAGCTCGATCGGACCGTGGAAAGGAATTCTACTGGACACTTCGCTTCGGCCTCGGCTTCGATGAGGCCACGCCAGAGGACTTCATTGAGGTGGATCGAGACCTTCATACTCTCTCCGGGAGTGGAATGGCGAACCCTGCAACTCGATTTCATCTTTGGGTCTATGAAAATCGACCGGATATCAACAGCATTGTCCACACCCATTCTCCAAACGTATCGGCCCTAGCAGCAGCTAAGCAGCCCCTTATCGTTTGCCAGATGGATATGACACCATTTTACGATAACTGTGCCTTTTTATCCGAGTGGCCCGGGCTGCCTATCGCAGATTATGAAGGCATTGTCATCAGCAAGGCACTCGGCGATAAAAAATCCATCATTCTTGTGAACCACGGCCAGCTTACAACTGGCGTTACTGTACAGGAAGCAACTTATCTTTCGGTCTATCTTGAACGGGCAGCTAGCCTGCAAATACGAGCATCAGGATTTGGCTCTCTTGTTCCTGTTGCGGGGGAATTGGCGAAAGATGCGAGGGATTATCTGCTACTGCCTCGTGTCGTCGGCGCAACGTTTGACTATTGGGGTCGTATTGCCGATCGACAGTCTGGGAAGACAAAGTGAGGAAAATCTTTACAATAGTGTTGAAATTGTGTGTATTTTGAAGTCTTGTGTTCTCTATCTTTGTCCTATTCAAGCTTCGAATTAATTTGCAAACCCTTACCGTATTGCCATCTTCAACTTTCCAGTGAGCTATTCAAGCGCCCCATGTCATTTCAAACAAGAAATATCCTACCTAATCTACTACACTGAGACCCGATGGTGATCAGACTCAAACTGAATAGGACCTGTACCATCTTAGTCTACCAAAATAGATCCGTGAAGTTGTGCTGCTCGTGGGTCGTGAGTCGGTGCAGACAGTACCTCAAAGCACGCCACAGAGAGTCTATGTTCGTAGATCATAGGCTACACAGAAACGAAATTTATCAACTTCCGTGGCAGACAGGTTTAAACACTTCATAAGAAAGCATTCCATAATTCATCCGGGGAGGAACGACATCACAGAACGTATCGGGATGACAGTTCACGATATTTGGTCGTATGAGGCACAATACCATCTGGAGTTGTGGTTTTTGACAAGGTGGGTCGGGTCAACAATCATTTGACTCAAACAAGCACTGTATACTCCGTGCCGGCCTGTGCTTTCGGCAGCGTTATCGTTTGTCAACTGCGGCCGCAGTTTCATTGGCAGCCAACTACTAGAGCGATATTGTATGGTCTGGATAGCCATAGGAACACTAGTTAAAGTTGTGGCTACATATTCCTAGGGTGTTATTGGTTCTTTTTGAGAAGGGCACATGAGTCCTATCCTTTGGAGACGGTTAAATGGTCTAGTGTATTTTGGACAACTCCGAGGCCACCTCGGACCTGAATTTCATTGGCCGTCAGCCGGATACAATCTGCAATACTTTTGTTTTGGTACTGTGACTCACTTTTCAAGATTACTTTCAAGATTACTTTCAAGATTACTTTCAAGATTACTGCTCTCTGTCTTTCCAGAGACTTACCCAACGGTGTTGCCCAAGACCTCTAGAAAGCACATCACGTATGCGGTAAGCGAGCTGGCAACTCTACCTGAAAAGCGTCCACAAATTAGCACTTCATTGATTGAACCATCTACTAGTGCGAACCAGTTTGCTCTCGAAGCTCTCGAAATTCAGTTGAGCAGGTACCTCAATGATGAATGATACTGTAACCGTGTTTGAGGAATTCAGAATCCAAACTTTCTTCTCAGCTCCAGTCCTACTAGTAATGTATTGAGCAGTATCGACTGAATTGGGCTCTCTCAAAAGAAGAATTTGCAATATCAAAGGTGATTGACATGTTACACAGATTACTTCCGATCTCAATGAGCCCTTTCCAAAAACCACATGCCCATTCCCCTTATCATTCGCTGTCTTTCTTCTCCTGACAGGCAAACCAATCGATGAGTTATCCGAGATTATCGGAGTTTCGTATTTTCACTTCCAGCGGAACGCATATTCACATCGTTGTTCGGCCCGAAGCAAATACCAGGTCAACCCCAGTTTTTCTCCAGAGGTCGTCTCGGCACAAAGCGTTCTCGGACTCGGACCATGATTTGATTAGACAAAGCTCGACTAGTCATTCTTGCCGTCCAACGTTGTTATAAGATACATAACAAACCCTTTCAATTCATCGGAACCAGACAACCTCCAAATCATATTTCCTTGCCACATTCATATCAAGCAAATACTCGTTCGATTGTGTTAATCGTACACATACACATCTCTTATACGTGTGGCCATTCTGCCCTCAAAATTCGTTATGAAAGAAGCTACGAAAATGCACAGTATCGCCAGCACAAAGGCAGAACTCCTTTTCTCGGGGTATGAGGAGGATGTTATCAGCGGTGAATGCCAGATGTCGTCGACACAACTTACCGAAGAAGAAAACCTGGCGTTCGGCGTCTGGCAGGTCACGCCGGGTGAATTCAGGTCTCATTGGCCGAGCTGGGAGGCATTCACGATCCTCTCGGGAAAGGGCACGCTTACGGACGGCGCTGGAAAGGTGCACGATCTCGTCCCTGGCGCTCTTGTCGTCATACCAGCGGGCTCGACCGGAACCTGGTGCATTTCTGAGACTCTTCGAAAGACCTACATCTACACTGTCGGCGGCGGTGGCCGTCCTGGCATTCCCACCAGTTTCTGAATACATGGAGTCCCAAGGCTACGGCTACAGTCGGTTGATGATTCATTTCGGTGGCTGCAAAGCCAAGTATTGGGGATATGCATTGGATCACTCATCAAGAGCATTCAATTGGGCCATTGGATCTGCATTTCTAGGGAGTCTGTATGTAATCCTGGGCTCCGCTGAAACTCCAACGGAGCCGCTGAATGACAGAGCACTCACTTGTGAATGTATCCACGGCTCACTCATTCAGTCTTGATCATGCATCAAATCAATCCAATCCTTCGAGTCACTTGTTTTGTTTCAATGATTTGATTTGGCTGTGTATACCGTAATTCTCGGGCGAGTCACGCATTTCCTTTGGTCTTGATAACTCAAGACAATGAAACAATCAGCAGCAATCATTTTCCGATAAAGCAGTTAGCCTAAATCGCGACTATTGCTTCAGCTATGATCAAAATCCACATTCCTGTCAAACGACAAGGGTTTCAATGTACAACTAAAAGTCTTATTTTCAGAAGTTAGTATTGATTTTATTTCATGTTACTAAGCTATCAGAGTATAATCGTCCATCATCGTCGTCCAATTAAGCTCTCAGAACTTGATCCAATTGCTAACCGACCAGATCCAGTCGTATTTGGGTTCATCCGAGGAAATCCTCGAGTCGCATTATTGGTTCCGTTGTCTCGTACAGAGCACCGAGCCGCATGATCTTTGAACTTGCAGTTTCCACAGCTACCACCAACCTTTGAAAGTGATTTCGCTTTCGAACACATTGCGGAGATGGGCTTATGAACCCAGACTTAGCAAACTTCTCACGGCATTGTAAACATGCAGTCACACACACCCTTGGGACGGGGTTTTGAGTGTTTGCTCATATATTGTCAAACAGAGGTTCATTTTATTGAGATCAACACATACTGGGAGTTGTCTTATTCTAGACTATTGGTGTTGTAACTTCGGCTGAGGGTTGACTTGCTGAGCAATGCATTGAGCATCTTCTGTTGACCGTACGCCTCGTCAATGGACATGGGTCTGTTCATCCTATTGACCGTACGCCTTGTCAATAGACATGGGTCTGTTCATCCTATTGACCGTACGCCTTGTCAATAGACACTGGTCTACTGTATTCATCCTATTGACCATGCGCTAAGTAATTTAGTAGTACCCGATCACCTGAGGAAATTCGGACGACGCGAGCCGGAGCTCTTTGATCTTACAGTACGGACTTCTGCGATGTAAGAAAGTTGTACGAAAACAGAATTAATCATGTTCCTTGATCATTTTTCGTTTTAACAAAGATCTACTAGGCCTGTCCATCGAGACAAAAAGCGTCATCGGCGCAATGCACGCAGACGCGCCACTGAAACTTGATAGGAGGAAATCATTGGCTCGATTTATTCTGAATGGGAATTCTCCCACTGGTAATCAATGAGACATGCCCCAACCTTGGAATATGCCAAGCATGACATTTCTACTCCCAGTTCTCAAGACGAGTATGCTTTATCTCTGAGCCTCGCACCCCCTTGATCTTTCCCAGCTGCATGAATTCCGCACTTTCAGCGAAATCGAATTGATCCTGTGTCTCGGGCCACCCGCTGAAAAGAACAAATTCCTCCCCTTCTCCATCTCTATCGATGCGCCATCCACCGCAATAAGAGAACGTTGCTGTGCGTGCAGCCAACTGAGGCTCGCTGGCTTTAAAGGCAGCATCAAAGACATCTTTCTTGTCGGCCTCAACAAAATACCTGCTGATCATGATAACGGGCGCATCGAGGGGGAGTTTGGAAACCGATGGCTGTGTCTGTTAGTGTATATAGCGAACGAGAACCACCGACAAGGCTCACATCAATATCCAAATGGAACATCCAGCAGACATCGAAGTCCTGACCCAGCAGCCCGAGAAGTCGCTGGTTGGTTTCGGACTGAATCCACTCGTGCGTGTGCTTCTCGACGGACTCCCACCCACCCACCAGGTAGTAGAATGAACGGTCTGTGGTCTGATTCAGGAAGTGGACGGCGTGCTTTGAGTAGTCCTCCTGCGCTTTCTGGGCTTCTAGTAGATTTGCCTTGGCGGTTGGTGGGAGGTCACTCTTCAGACGAATAAGAGCGACTTCTGTGACTGCCATGTTGGATAGGGCTTGCTGGATATGATTGCAGTGAAACACGGATAATTTTACCTGGATTGACAGAAACTGGGTCTTGGGAGATTCAAACGTTGGCCTCTGTCTTTAAGGAGGAGACCTGTAGGCAGCCGGAGCTTGCGTCTCTAGATCGGCCTTGGCCCCCATTAGGGGCCGAGCAGCTTCGGCGATCGTTGTGATCCACAACATCGAGAGCACACGACATAGGCTTACCAGCAGTCTATTACTTGTCAAATTTTACCATACAATCACCCAAGACACCCATGATAATGATAATATTCATTTCAGCAACACGATAGCTAATGGCCTTGGGTATACCGATCAAGCACAAGAATCAACCACAGAACAACAAAGGCAATGAGCAGCGCGAACAAGGTATCATGTCTCTATTTCAGGTAGTGATAAACTCACACCTCTTTCCTGTGAATGTGTCAGTGGTATACAAGATGAAACAAAGAGATTGACATACCAAGTATGTCCGGTCTTCTCGATACCCGGCGTCTTGATCGCATTGCGATCCCCAAATGGATTGTCCTCGTCGTCGTCCTCAGACTCACTCTCACTTTCGCTATCGAATATTTGTCGGGAATGCTGAGTTGAGGATGCAACAGGCAGATTTGGTCGTGGTGGTTTGGGGGGATTGATTGAAAGCCCAGCCAGCCCAGTATCCACATCATCGTCCAGGCCAAGCCCATGTCTCTGCTTCCAACTATTCTCCAAGATGTCATCCTCGCTGTCACTGTCATAGTCCAAGCTCTTATCCAACACTTCGAAGGCCATCAATGCAGTCACAAGCTCCTCGTTGGCATGGATGAGGCCGCCCAAGAACTCTTCGCTTTCAATGTATTGGATGTAGCGGAGGATACCGTGACGAAGATCCTTGCAAGTGTCGAACCCGTGGATGCATTCCGCATCCTCGCTCACCCGGTGCGTCTCACGGTTGACCAACTTCAGTGAGTTCAAGAGATTGGTGCTAGCCACCGATGAAGCTGCAAGCGCTTGTAAGATCTCCGGGCGCTCTTTTTCCAAGTCGAATTTTCTGCTGCTGCTGCTCAGCCCCAATTTCTTATCTTTCTTGTCCTTCTTCGCTTTGGCCTTCTGCTTGGGACTCGATAACAGGGTGGATGGCCCACTGCCTCCCGAGACGGACACAACATGGCCCATAGGAGGCTCATTCTTATTGGAGTTGGAGTTGGAGCCCTCGCGAAGGACCTTGGCTTTCGCCTGGGTGGCGGGCTGCTTCCGCTTGGGCAGTTGCTTATAAAGTGCCGTCACCTTCGCCATCCCGGGGGTATCTTTGAAAGTCGAAGCCCATTGCCCGAAGATTTGTTTGCATTTCTGTTTCACGAGGGGGTCTGAGACAGAATCCGTCGCCGCGATGCGAAGTCGTTCGAGGAGCGCTTCGTCGGCGAACCCGCGCAGGAAACGTTCTCCGGCATTCTGCACCAGGAAGTCGAGAATCACGAGCGCACGAAGTTGTCGGTGGAGGTTGCCGTATTTTCTTCCTAGGTTAGAACCATACGTAGTTCTGCGCGCTGCACACTTACAGCTTCTTGCGCAGAGCCCGACTTGCTTCCGTTGGGCCACTGGCCTGGATGCGAACCACTTCCACCAGATCAACGATCCCACTGGAGTCTTCGACTTCATATTGCTCGCTTGTGAGGACCTCGATCTGCACGGTCACGGCCGAGTATGGTTTCTATGCACGGTCATGTCAGGCGGTGTACGAGAGCGACTGCTCCTCCCCGAATCGACTTACGGAAGATTCAAACATGTTGCGAAGAAGGCGAGGCCTCTGCTAATCCCACAAGGGTTCCAAGGTTGGGTTGAGAGAAACCACAGGGTATGTAAGGTCCAAAATGCCACTTGTATCCAGCAGCCCACAATCGCCCCGCGTTGCGATATCGGTATGGAGATAACCCCGCACGCCGTTTACACGAGGATTTCACGAGACGAGACTGGGACGGACAAGAATATTGACAATCAACCGGTGAATTCTGTTTCGACTAGAAAATCTGAAAAATAGGGTCAGCCCACATTGCAGCAAGATCGCCCTGGACGCTACAGCACGTGTCAGTACCACCATTTGGGCCATACGCACCGAGTGTGTAATGTACGTCGAAGTATGCGCAGGCGATGTAATGTACAGCCTCCCAGCAGCCTGGAAGTCTGGAAGAGAGAGGTCGTGGCGTGAAGTTGAGCCCAAAGAGGATAGCGGGGGTGGTGGCCTGAGGTGTCAGTCTGAGGATGCTCGGAAGTTGCGAACGGAGGACAGAGAGAGGGACTCTGATCATTGACAGTCTCGAGCTAAACTGTTCAATTCGCGAATGAAACAAACGGCTTCCCGATCGGATCCATCCCCGCCATCCTATTTGTTACGCGTCCTGTCCCGCTTTCTTGTCTGCTCCACCCTCATCCTGGCCCTCAGCGTGGCTCTGAGATCCCACTCTCGTCTCTCCCTCCTCCTCCCCCACTTCTCTACAAAAGTCGAAACCATGGCCTACCAACAAGAACGTTACATTGCCGAATTGGCCGTCCAGCGGGCGTGTCTTCTGACTCAGAAGGTCTTCTTCGAGAAGGCCAAGGGCACCGTTTCCAAGGATGACAAGTCCCCCGTCACCATCGGCGACTTCGGCGCCCAAGCCCTCATCATTTCCGCCATCCGCAAGAACTTCCCCAACGACGAGATTGTTGCTGAAGAGGAGGCCAGCTCCCTGCGCGAGGACAAGGACTTGAGCGCCGAGATCTGGCGCTTGGTCAAGGACATCAAGCTGGACGATGAAGAGAGTGACAACCTTCTCGGAGGTCCTCTGGCCAGCGAGCAGAGCATGCTGGAGATCATTGACAACGGAAACAGTGCCGGTGGCCCCAAGGGCCGCATCTGGGCTCTCGACCCCATCGATGGCACTAAGGGCTTCCTTCGCGGCGGCCAGTACGCCGTCTGTCTCGGCCTGATGGTCGACGGCGATGTCAAGGTCGGCGCCATCGGTACCCCCAACCTCCCCGTCGATGATGCCGCCAGCCTCGACGCCAACACCGGTGCTCAGCAGACCGCCACTGCCGCCAACGGCGTCTTGTTCTCCGCCGTCCTCGGAGAGGGTGCCACCAGCCGTCCCCTGACGAGCGGTACCCTCGCTGGCAGCAAGTCTATCTCCATGCGTCCTGTCTCCAACATCTCCGAGGCCGTCTTCTGTGAGGGTGTCGAGGCTGCGCACTCCGCCCAAGGCGACAATGCCGCCGTCGCTCAGCTCCTCGGCATCACCGCCCCCAGCGTGCGACTGGACTCGCAGGCCAAGTACTGCTCCATTGCCCGTGGTGCCGGTGACATCTACCTCCGCCTTCCCGTGAAGAAGGACTACCAGGAGAAGATCTGGGATCACGCTGCTGGTGACCTCCTCGTCCGTGAGGCCGGTGGCCAGGTCACTGATATCTACGGCAACCGCTTGGACTTCAGCAAGGGCCGGACTCTCGCTGCCAACAAGGGTGTTGTTGCTTCGCCCAAGGCTCACCAGGATGCTGTCGTTGGTGCCGTGAAGAACGTGCTGAAGTTGTAATGGATTCATGATTTGAGATTGGCCCGGGTGACTCGGGCCGAGAGCTCCTGGGGAGCAACAAAATCACGCTAGATGCACTGAAATATATTTGTGATACCATCGCTGTGAATGAGAAAAAAGAGTACATATATAACAATAAGAATACAGGCACGGGACCAACCACATATCCCGCGTAAAAAAAGTGCTCGTCTATTTGATCTTCTTGGCCTTGAGCTTGATCGTCTCTCCGTTGACAAAGATACCCTTGCCCTTGTAAGGCTCAGGGCGTCTCCAGTCCCTGATCTCGGCCGCGAACTGGGTCACCACCCGCTTATCGACACCCTCGAGCAGAATTCTGGTGGGCTGCGGTGTGCTGGCTTCCACGCCCTTGGGAATGCCGAGTTCAATGGGGTGGGAGAAGCCGACCTTCAGCGAGACGAATTTCTGGCCCGGGTAGGTTGGCTCGACGGTTGTGGCCTTCTCTTCGACGGTAGCACGGTATCCAACACCGACCATACTCAATACACAGACGTGACCTTCGGAAACACCGAGGATGTTGTTTTGGATCAGTGCGCGGATGGTTCCTACAGAGTAGATTGTTAGACGCTGCCGCGCGGATCGAACGCTGGGGCTCCAGGAGAATGCACATACCCCACATAGCACGCTGGTGAGGAATATCGGTATCTTGAACCGACAGGGTGGCCTTCTGTCCAGTCTCATCACGGGTGACAGTCAAAAAGGAGGGAATGTTGACGCTCATCTCGCCTGGCACGGGTTAGCAAGCATCCTCCGGACAATTCAGCACCACCTACCCCTTGGGCCCTTGATCTCGGCGGCAAACTTGGGAATATCCTTTCCGCGAGTCCGGGTGAGAGTTTCAGGGATATCGACGAGCTTGAATGACACCTCCGGGGGAATTGTGATCGGGGCACCTCCGACTCGGGACTGCGACGGCGACGTGGTCGAGAAGCATTGTGAACGGGGTTGGGAGAAAGCCGGGGCGAGGAAAATTGGTAGTGAGCCGCGTTGGAAAGGCTCTCTCAGAAGCTGGCGGGCACAGCGCTGGGGTAAAGACATGATGGCGCGTCTTTGGGGTTGGCTACTTTGCGGACTTTGGATTTTGTCGATGATCCTCAATGGGGCTAGCGCCCACGTGACCATCTATACCGTCCGCGATGCGCGCTTCGTTTGTCGAGACTCGACACCTTTCTCACTGGGTGAGTATTGGGAATTGGTGAAACAGAACTCGCAAAATGATATAAGCTACTTGAGGCATGTCTTGTCGAAATCAGCTTCCCCCGCGTTCATCGCAGACATGGCATCAGACTAGGATGCAGATCGGTGTATAGTCGGAATTTTGGACAACAGACTTCAGATTCAAGAGTCTACTACCTAGGGACTGGATGTGATATTCAGATGTTGGAATGCCACCTTGGAAGACTCTTCCATTTTCACTTTTTTCCCAAGGCCCTAGTGTTTCTACATAGTGCAACCTGCCTCGATCTCAGTGAGGTTCCGTAGGTATGAATACTTGCAATATTAATTTGTACCGAGTTGATCGTTGTGTAGAGTGTTACTGAGAAGAGCTGTTGTGATTAGTATTTGGTCAGACTTCCACGGTGGTAGCTTGTGCTTCAGTCTTGGTTCGGTCTCTCTCTACACGAAAATATATCTTTGTCACTTCTGCTCTCACCAACCAATGCGAAGACAACTACCAACCAACGCACTTCCACCCAGTCAAGATCCAAAAGAGTCCACAATGAAGGTCGCTAGGGGCTGGCGATTGATCCCATACGCTCTCTTCTTGTCGACAACGCTGGGGAAGGCTCTACGCGGAGGTAAGACACCCCGGTCAATTTCAGGTACTGCTGCTAATCTGGGGTGACATTGCAGGTCCGCCCGCCAGACCCCCAGAGATCGACACCGTCGCGTTTCTCGGAGTGCAAAAGCATCGCCAAGACGTCATTTTCAATGAAGCAGTACATCTCTTGGACTCCATGAGGACTTCGCCGTCCTGCCACCGCGTCGCAGCAACAAGATTGGTCGCATCGTGCCAGTCATTTACGGACATCCGAGACGCCCCCCAGTCAAATAGCCCAGAGAGTCTTGATCTCCTTCGGTCTATCTATGCGGCCAGACTGGCTTTGTGCGAGATCGACGGAGCGGGCACCGTCGTCCCCCCATCATGTCTTCCGGTCACGGTTTCACCACCCCAGCCAAGGAGTCGATTCGGCTTGGGCAATCGGCAGAAAAATACTGATGCTGCAGTAGATGAAGTTCCGAAGGAGGTGCTGGAGCAGTGTCTGAGAAGTCTTGAATCCCGACCTCAATGGTGGACATCATACAGCAACAGTCGGCAGAATGCGCTTATCATATGCCAAGCGACGCGGATGGAAACAGAAAAAGAAGAGCTGATTGAACTGCATCGATCAATTACAAAGAGCAGCTCCAAGTTGAACCATGGCCTTCAAGAAGCTTTGAAGGATGCAGCTTCTCGGCATGAACAGCAAACGGCGTTTGCAAACGCCATTCAAGCTCTGCACACACAGATTGTCACTGAGGCTGGTGCAACAGAATCCTTGCTCAAGCGAACTTTCAATCGCTTTGTTCAAGAAGTTGAAAGTGGCATTGATTCTTTTCAAGAGGCCATGTCGGTGGTGCTGAAGGAGACCCAAGCCAAGACAGGGTATCTTGAAAAGGTGAGATATACTGTCCATATAGCTGGATACCACTAACAGTCTTGTAGGATATTCAAAATGCAACAAGCCAAGTGGAAGCTCTCCAACAGGCATTGGAAGGTGCACACCAAGATGCGCTGATCAGAAGCCAGGAGGCAGCTCGGGCCCAACAATCAAGTGCTGTCACCAGCAATAATATGGTGTCTTCATTGCATCAGTCACTTGATTCAGTAATAGGCTCCGACATGGAGAGGATCTATAGCGGAATGCAAAGGTTTGGTGATTCCATGGTGTGTTAAAACCCTTCCATTCATCTTACCTAGGTAGCTTGACTGACCACGCTGATTATCTCTAGGAATCGTTGACAAACAGAATGAACGCCATCATTCAGCGAGAAACACAAATGGCCGAGGTGAGAGTACCTTCACTTGAGACAATGCCTGTGCTAATCTATGAAGCGCCTCCAACACATGGAAGGGTTCATACAGCAGTCTCAATCAAAAGCTGTTGAGCTGCAAAGGTCCCAGGATCTACAATTTGAAGCACTCTCTGCGAACTCAAGAGCCCAAGAAGCCATTCAATTCCATGCCCAAGTCTCGCAGGCTCTTCTCAGCAAAGCTAGTGCCTCGGCTGCCAACCTGCAGTCAGCAATTGAGGATGCCACAGCCGCCATCAAACGTGGTCCGGGATCCAGCATTGGAGGACATTCTGCCTGGTCTCTCTGCACCATTCTGCTCCTTGTCATTGCCGCACAAAATATCAAGATTGCGATTGGCATAGTCCTCCTTCTCCTTGGTTGGTACAATCTCCACGGGTTCCGGCCTTTGATTCTGACGCATTTACTTCCTCATTTGATTCTAGTGCACTCCCTTGCATTAATCGCCATGCGCTTCATCTGACTATATACCCATCATTATGGCGAACATTCACCGATACACCGATACCCACTGGTCCAGGATTCCCAAGTTATGATCTGGAACTATTTTTCATGGTTTTACTTTTCGTTTCGTCCGAACTTCTACTAAGTCCACGCTCTTATATGACAATATCCACGCACTAGATAGCCCTATACTTCTAATTCATCCCACCTTACCTGGCAACTGCCAAGCTTCACCTACAGCAGTTTTTTCTTCTAATGTAATAATACTGCTAAGATTAAGTTCAGGAATATCCTCATGGTACCCAGCGCTAAGTACGCAGACTTGGCGTCCCGAGGAAGCTCCCACGAAATATGGTCGCGGCCCGAGGGCGCTCGCAGACACATTCCTCCGCGACACGGCTTCGAGCCATTTCGCCATGCCTTCGCTGGGCCGCCGATCTCGAAAAAGACTGTTATTTCCCAATTTTCATACTGGTCCAATTTAATCTGTAACATCTATTCTGGCCTTTTAACTTCATGATCTAGTATACTAGTGTCAGCACAGCCACACCAGCTGTCAGAGCTAAGATAAGATGCGGGACGGGCCCCAATGGTGTGGGGGTGGGCCAATAAGGGGGTCCTGCAGCAAACAAAAACGAAGTCGAAAAGAGTCAACCACCAGGGAAAGGAGAAAGTCGTATACCTTCGAAGAGGAACGCACGTGATGAGAAGAGTATCGTTCTCCTTCTCCTTCTTTTCCTCTTGATTTCTCTTTCCTCTTCAACCCTTTCGTTTGCGTACGATCGCCCTGAAATCATTTTCCACCACATTTCATCCCTACTATTTTATCAAAATGCCTGGTGTTCGTGAGTATACCCAGTTGCCTATCATACTTCCCCGGTCTCGGTCGCTGTCCTATGCATGGTACTTACATTTTTCAGCATTGGATGCTTTGAAACAGGTGAAGAAGGGCCTGAAGGGCCTCTTCCGTCGCAAGAAGAAGAAGAACGAGGACCCGGAGAACCCTCCTGCCGCCGAGGCCACTGATGCCTCCGCTGCTGCTCCCGCTTCTGGTATGCTACAATTTCCACTATACTTGCCTGTCCACTGTAGTTCATTGAATCATTCTGGTTTCATACCTTGATTTCCAACTAACTAACCAATTCTTCTAGGCGCCGCCAAGTCGCCTGAGGCTAAGCCCGAGGGCAAGGAGGCGCCCGCTGCTGAAGGAGCTGCCAACCCTCGCTCCGAGGCCCCCGCTCTTACTATCGTGGAGCCCACCGTCCCCCTGACTGATGCCACCAGCCAGACGGAGTTCCCTGCTGCTGAGGCTCAGCCTTCCACTAAGGTCGCGCAGCCTGCTGCCACCACTGGTCAGTATCCTCCCTGTGTATGAACCAGTAGAATATGCCACTGACAGTTCTAGATGCCGGCTCTTCCAAGTAAAGGAATTGCCTTACCCCCACATGGTTCACTGCGGCTGGCCATGATCCTGCGAGTCTGATCACAGTTTTTTCCTTTTCCATTTTCCGTGGCTCCTCGATTGTTTCAACTTACAAGCTTGTCATTGCATGTCTTGCGTTTCTTGATTCTAGAGCGAACCATGTGCTCCATTGTCCCTGATAGTTTCGAGTTGATCAGACCGTTTAATAGCAATAAGTATCCAAAACCTCCTGTTCATTGTAAACATTACTCTGTAGACTCTTTAGCCCATCGATCCAGGGACTAGCCTTCATCTCATGGATCGAGGCTCCTTGTCACACGCAGAAGATACGAGGAAGCTGTATTCCTTTGCCGCCACTCGAGGGAATCACCACGTTTCGACCATCATGCGCTTCATGTTCTGTACATCTCATCCGGCTCATCCTTTACCCGCCGCTTAATCGACCTTCCCTTCTCAAAGCCCTAAGTCCAAGGCCTTTCATCTCGCAATAGAGACTCGGATCAACCAAGCTGACGAGCCTTGCAGTCATCGTGTCCCCCCTCGTTCTCCCTACACCGCAGCGAACACTCATACCTCCCAGAGCCAACTTGATCAACACTTGTGCATCGCAAGTGAAGATAATCCCACATACCAGTTCATTGATGGACTCAGGCGCATCTGGCGTCTAAGCTGAAGCCAGGATGCACTTGAACCACTATCAATCCTCCAAGCCAGAGATGAGACGATTCATCGGCTTCCTACAACAGACAAGCTAGTTTGCATCCCGCAGACATCTACACAGTCTGGAAGCATTAATGGACACATGCCCATTACCGTATGCAAGCTAGTATCTTTGCAAACAACTTGTGAGCTTCTGTACTTGCAATGTGCACCACTGTAGCTCACCACCCTAGGTCGAGCTTTTTCGAACTGGCTAAATGACCACCAGCACGACAAAAACGGGCTCAAAATAACATACAGAATCCCTAATAATCCCCCAAACGATGATACCTTCCACGCCTCTTGTTGCCACGTATTTCCACGCACCATAAAACATCATCAGATCTGCTTCGCAGGTCACCTTTCGGGATCGCCTCTCGTGTTGAACTGATGAATCAGAGCGAGCTCGCCTTCGAACCCTCCGTCCTCCTCTACGAAAGGGGATACACATACTCCAAATCAGTGAAATTGGCTTACAACGAACCAAAGTGAAGGATTGGTTGTACCAACGCCATCGTGATCTTCACCCCCAGGATCGCCTGGCACAAGATTTGTCTATTGCACGACAGACACAGATAGAAGAGTGAATCACAAAATTTGTGGCTTCGGCTCAATCGATTTGGTGTCATGCTACGAGTATCATCACAAGAGCATCTACACAATGTGAAAGGGATCAAGTTAGGGTATCAAATTCCGAATACAGTCTAGCGTCTAATTCTCTCCACCAGATGAAGCATCATCCCCCTCAGCCATAGCAATATCTTCAACACTCACACCAGCCGCTGCAGCCTTCTGCTCCCGGGCCTTTTGTCTACGCTTGAGCTTTCTCTCGCGGTTCTTTCGTGTGCGCTTCTCTGCATCTTGCTCCTTTGCTACCTGGGCTGCAGTAACCCGCTTGCGCAGCTGGACACGTCTCTTTTTCCCGGGCTTCTTTCGAGTCAGTGGACTCTTGGTCACGGGCGCTCCTTCTACCGCGTAGATTGGGAGACTGCCAGCTGGCCGTGGTGTTTTGGTTTGATGGCGCTTGAGATGGATTACTCGCCAGGGGAGATGGCATCCAGGCTATAACTCGGTTAGTGAGACTTCAAGGGAATGGATTGTGCAGTATGGTGGTGTCCACATACCCAAGACTGTGACTGCGCCCATCCAAGCATGTCCTCCCCGCTGACGGCCATGTTCTCGAATTGTTGTTGCTTTTCAGCTAGCTGCGCTGCTTCTTCTGGACTGATGTTGCCCCCATGCGTGGACGAGAGTATGGGTGTGGAGAAGTAATAATCCCAATCACGATGCGCTTTCACAAATCCACCTTCCGATGGGTCGCCAGAGCCCGGGGTTGGCGAATGAAGCCGGATTCGTAGCTTTTGGGTTGTGCCGGGAGACTTAGCAGCTGATCCCTTGGACTTTTGATCTTTGCTGCCGTCTACTTCTGGTCCTTGGGGCGCCTCTGTGGACTTGGCGGGGGCACTGAACAGGCGGAACTCAAATTCTTGCTCGTCCTCCTCGTCGGCGGGCTGGGAAGGGTGAGAGTCTTTCTCATTGGATTCCGGTGCGTCATTCAAGTGATCCAGGTTGAGCAATTTCCCCAGTCGAGCGTAGGCATCCTGTGCTGCAGAGTCATCGGGTGCTGGGGAAGGTGAGCGGGATGACGCCGGAGAGCGCATTTCATCGCGGCGAACCCTAGATAGAATATATTAGCCAGTGCTTGATTGAGAGAATGACATCCAATGCTCCATACCGCTTGGCCTGTGGTTCTTCAAACATATTGTGTGTGCAGAGAAGACAAGATCCCCGGCGCCAGAAAATGCCGATTTGAGCGCCAAGACATCGGCCTCTTATCGATGACATGGCACGGACCTCAGACTTGAACGTCCCTTTCTCTCGATTCACTCTGTACTCTGCACTTGACCTTCTCACTATTCGTTTCCTTGTATCTTGTGCTTCTGCATACACGTTCCTTTCCAAGATAATCCCTGACCTCCACACTGGTTCCTTCGCGATTGGCGGTTAATGCCTCGTGCCCATCGCATAGCGCAAACGTGCACCTTACAACACCAACCCACCCCCCACTCCCACTCCCTCTAAATGGGTGTCTGTGCCTCCTGCCTCGGTGGCAATCGCCATGAGTCTCCAGAGGTAAGTCCCAAGACGGCCACCCCACCTGCTGCATTACCTCGGCTTAATGCGCGATCCATGGGGTGATCGGCGATGACCATCTTCTAACATTTCGTTCTTGAAGCCCGAGTCCTCCCGTCTACTCGAAGACGACCCTTACCAAGCGGGGTACGGCTATGGTGCGCTCAACCATGCTCAACAGGCTAGTCAGCCGGATCCGGAATATGTGAGGCGTGAGCGAGAGGCATTGGAGTCCATATGTCAACGCACGTCGGAGTAAGTCAAATTTGATGGCTAGATACAAGCTGGCGATCATCAATTGTGTGGGAAATGTTGCTAAGTCAATATCCTAGCTCTGTCATCGATATTTGGTCCATCCAGCCACAAGCCCACCTACAACCACAAGCCACTCTTCATACGCCCATCTCTGCATCCCCCGCCCCATCACACCAAACAGATGGAACAACACCCGTCACATCTACCCACCGCACATCGCCACCAAGCAGACCTACTTCCGGGGCAGAGGGCGCTGTTCCAAAACACTGGGGGGAGGTAGTTGTCAACCCGAACAAGAAGCGCTCCCGACCCGATATGAACACCGATCTCAAAGTCAACCATGATGTCTTTGGAGTGTTGAAAATCAAGTAGTGAGAATGTGGCTCCTCGGGCTGGAAATCGATCGCTACACACTGACGATGATGAGGTACATGACAAAAGGTGTGGGGATCGAACTGAGTGGACAGGAAGGTCCTGGAGGGCCCGTTGTTTTGTCTCTTTGCGCGTTCTTCTATTCTTGCGGAAGTTTGATTTCATTGCATGATCGCAGGTCGACTGTTCTTTTTTTTTTTTGCAAATATAGCCATTTCTCCTGTCACCCCGTTCTGCTAATACCCCTTGACAGACCCCTTTCTTTTGTATCAGATTTCACCTTCGCTACATCTTGATTTTCCGTTCTGCTGGCGTCTTTAGAATGTTGTTCGTTCGAGTCCATCCGCATCGTCTTGTTTATTGTGATCTGCCTGTATATTTGGTCTCTTCCGAGGTTGTGTTTCTGTCATTCCATGGTCTTAAGATAAGGACATAAATGAATTCGTTCATTCTACACATTGCACAATGGCTGAAGCACTGCTATGCATGAATCTCTTCCAAGTTGCTGGAAGTGACCGCTGGACCCGGCGATGTCAGACAAATGTTCTTTGCGAAGTCAACCCTATATCCGGTCCCCATAAACTCGCACCCGTGACCATTGAAGTGCGGGCCATGGTGTGTTCAATGAACCCTCTACGGTCGTAAAATACACTTCAAGGTTCTCTACTGCATTTAGTGAACTCGAGATAAAAGCACAGGAGGATGTTGAGCAGCCTTGGAGGGGATAGATAACTATGGAAATAGGAATATAGAATTGGGAAAGAAACGAACGCCCGCTGATCCTGTTCGAACATGGATATAGAATAGAGCTGAGAGATGCATTATGTCCTGGCCGGGCCGATCTCGGACCTGGCGTTGCAATATCGTGACTAGACATCGTCCATGGTGCCTGCTGGCTCTTCACCGCCGGAATCATAGCTTCCAGCGGAGCTTAGTTCGTCTTCAGATTCAGTATCCTCGCCGGCCTCATCCACCGCTTCTTTGCTAGCGTATTTGGCAACATATTCTAGGTGGGGTCAGCACTAGTGGAGCAGCGCTCGGCCCTGTAGAAACGTACCTTTCACCTTGGCCTCATATGCCTTGGGTTCTCTCATTAACAGCGCGGCTGCTTCGCCATTGAGGGGGTCGGCCGGGTTCGGGTAGCGAAGGAGCTGAGGGAGGAAGACCTCAAAGATATTGAGCATGTCGTACATCGGGGACCATGTTTGGTTGATCACATCGAGGCAGACTGAGCCCGATCTATGCCCAATAAGCGTTAGTTCCCAGACTATTGGTAGCACGCAGTCCACCCCGGCTTACAACTCATCAATGTTTGGATGGAATATCCGATTCACAAATCCAATGCTCGGGCTCTTGTATGGGTACTGGTCGGGCAGCTCGACATGTATTTTCCAATGGCCTCCGGTGAATGGCGCTAAAACACTTAGTATGATGTCATAGCGAACCCTCAAGAATAGGACCTACTCTCTTCTGGGCCCTTGAACCGCACGTAGAATTCTTGCCTGGTTGTATGTTGGTATTGTGGGGTATCAGGGGGGTCGGAGTACATACACTGGGTGTCAAATATTAGTACCAGCCATGACTCAATGATCAGGAGACTTACTGTTGTCATTCACCAGTGTCACCTCATAGTCACTCATAAGCCTATAGGACCCGTTAGATTCGCTTCTAGTGGTCGAGTCTGCTTGCTAATGCCGGGTGAGAGGCGTAAGAGCGACAGCTGAAGGAGCATGGGGTTGGGACTCTCTCGTACATCCTAACAGAGGGTCAGCAACCAAAGGATTCCCAGAGATTTTTGTTCGAGCAAGCATACTTCATGACCTAAACGAAACGAACGTCCATCGTCAGCATCCGCCGAGACACAGCTTATCAGACTATCCGTGACACGACTTACATCTGTCTCGATTCTGCGCTTTGGGCTACTCATTATGGCGATACAAACAATTCAGCGGGTTATTGGCTTCAGGGGAATGTTTGCGTCGAATTTTCGGAAGAACGTGAGGGACCAAAGGGATCCTAGTGGCGTACGGAGTACAGTTCAAGCAGATCGAGATCGGAGCGGGGAAGTATTGAGCGGGGTCGTGAGATGCTCCCGGGTGAGGAACGGCTGAGCAATAGAGCAGATACCCGATGGTATAGCCAGTATGTAAGGCAAATATGAAGCACGAAAGAGATCGATGGGAGCTGAGAGCACAAAGAAGAGAGGAAGCTATCAAGGTTGGCAATGATGAGTGGTTGAGTCAGCATCGCCCCACCCGCTTACGGAGTATACGTTGGACAAATGTTCCCGTTTTCTACTTCATGCACAGTAGTCTGAACGTCTTGGATCATATTTCTACTTGAATGAAATACGTTTGACAGAGAGCTTCCAAGTTGGAATCAATTAAGGCCTCTGAATAGCCCAATTTGTGATCATTCTTTGGACATCCACACAACAGATGAATCCTAGCAAACCGAAAATCATGGACGCTGGTAGTACAGTAGGTATTCACGCCCCAAAAGGTACTAGTACTAGGCAATCCAATACGAAATACGAAGGGGTAAGGAGTAATGATTTTCCAAGGTTCTCATATGAAAATCCCTGGGACATCCATGGATATATGTCTAGCATATCTGAACCTTGGAACACTGGACAGCATCGAATAACTTCAGGTTTAGTGTTGCTCCTCCTGTGGAAAATGGAATTTCACGGCACCCTCAGCTAGCGCCTGATTCTGACTATTCTTCTGGGCAATAAAGGAGCTGATGTATTCCGGAACGGCCGCAACTTGACTGTCGCCGCTAGGGATGGGGGCCCCAAGAGTCTCCCAGACAGGTATGACGCCAGTCCAGACAGTCTTGGTCACCTGCTCATTGTCGGAGTCCTTGCGCTCATCGGAAACTCCCCCGTCACGGATCTTACCACTACCACCAACGATCTTGACCTTGAGTATGACCGTCGATTGCATCTCAGCGCGATCTGGCGGCACCCGCGAGTGATCCCAACGGTCTTCGAGTACAGAGTTGGTGATCAGCTTCATGGCCCAAAGCTTCTCCTCTTCATCGGTGACAAGACTTGCATAGCCGTGTAGAATGGCAGAGCGGTAGTTATAGCTGTGCGAGTTTGGTGTGAGTGACAGAATCAATCCATCTACCTTGCTGGTTGCCACGCAGATTGGAAGACCTTGCCCCTCGGGACTGTTCCTGGCCAGATTCATGATGCGGGAGCTGACGTAGCCATGAAGGTAGCAGTCAAGAGGCTCGTCGATGCTAGCAGACGGATATTCGAATGATCCCATTTGTCCGATCATTGGCAGGATTGCCGGAAAAGGATCTTCCAAGCCAGAATTGAAGGAAACATGAAGGACCTGCGAGTCATTGATGATACGATGGATGGGGCCCAGATCGTAGGTTGCTGGTTCATACGGTCAGCGTGTGGACATTCCAAGGTTACCGCTGATATATAAGGGTACGCGGATAGACGTGATCTCCATCTACTTACCACGATGTTTGTAGCGGTTTGCCGTGTTGAAGGGCCGCTTTGGATAAGTCAAGGTTCGTCCCATGATTGATTTGTAGATGTAATACAGAGCCAGAAGGACAAACAGAGCTCTTTAAGTACCGGGGCAGACCGATGAATCATACCTAGAGATCCGGGGTGAGATACGACATTCCATTCAAGTAGGTCCATCCGGGACAATCATTCCCCACAGAGTCATTCAGATGCGCACAGATACCGCGCAAGTCCAGCCAAAGGGCGTGGAAAGATCAAGGTCGATTCCCAACACGGCGGAGGTGATTGGCGCACACCGCCGGCAGAGCGGACAGCTCCGCGATAACAACGCTGATTCTTATCACTCACTGTGTTACAGACATGGCGTCCAGGATTCTCGCTCGCCAGTGCGCATTGCACATACGAGCACCTCTCCGTCAATCCCTGCGTCTATTGCCGAGATGCAATTTCCACCGAAGCTATGCTACATCGGTCCCCGCCGCGGACCTGAAGTTCGGCCAGCCGTTGCATGAAACACACCCTCACATCTTGAGTCCAGGCGAACGTGAGTCATTCTCTCCTTTCTTGGCCTGTATTTCGAAGCTTACTGAACATGTGTAGTGACGCCCGGAATCACCGCCCTTGAGTATGCTCAGCGCCGCTCAAAACTCGCCAACAAGCTACCACAAGGCGCGATTGCGGTGTTAGCCGCCTCGGAGGTCAAGTATCGCGCTTCGGGGATCTTCAATGAGTACCGACAGGACTCCAACTTCTTCTATTTGACTGGTGAGTGTGGGAAGGACTCATGACCTTAGGACTCACGTGGGACTAACAGGCGCCGAATAGGATACAACGAACCAAACGCACTGGCAATTATCGCGAATGACGGCTCGGGGGACAACCACGTATTCCATCTCTATGTCCGGGAGAAAGATGCCAAGGCAGAGCTCTGGGATGGAGCACGCTCCGGTACTCAAGCTGCCAAGGATGTTTTCAACGCCGATGAGGTATGGCAGATAGCTTCGAGGGAACAGGATTTCGAACTAACACTGAAGACAGTCGGGGAACATCGAACGCATCGGAGATCTCTTACCCAGCATCGTCCAGGGGGCCACAGAGGTCTACTCAGACATTCCTACATTTGATGGTTCGAGGTCATCGTTGAATCGCTACTTGTACGGCCCGACAGTCGCATCGGAGAAGCTCAGAAAGGTCGTCGACAACCGCAGAGTCAAGCCTTTGAAGCATCTGCTCAACGAGATGAGGGTCACCAAGAGCGAAAACGAGGTTGTGCAGATGCGCCGTCTGGGCCAAGCTTCTGGTCGAGCTTTCACAGAAGCTATGCGCCAGGACTTCACTCGCGAAAAGGATCTATACTCGTTCTTGGAATATCAGTTCAAGGTCAATGGATGTGATACCAATGCTTTCGTTCCCGTGGTCGCGGGCGGCCAGGTAAATCTTTCAGCTTTCTCTTGACTCTCTACTTCGTACTGACGAACGCAGAACGCCTTGGCCATCCATTACACACGAAACGACGACGTGCTTAAGTTGGTTTTCTTCCAATTCCACTTACCAACGTGAGGTGCATACTGACAATAATGGCAGGGATGGTGATCTCGTGCTTGTTGATGGCGGTGGTGTAGGTCGATTGCGAACAGATTGCCCAAGTTGAACGCTGACACAATTGCAGGAGTGGGGAACTTATATCTCCGACATCACTAGAACTTGGCCGGTAAATGGCAAGTTCACCGATCCCCAACGTGATTTGTACAATGCCGTGCTCAACGTGCATCGACGATGCCTTTCACTGTGCCGCGAGACTTCTAACCTCTCCCTGGACAAACTCCATGGTATTGCCGAACACGGGTTGAAAGATGAGCTCAAATCCCTGGGCTTCGATGTTTCTGGCGATGTATGTATTTCTACTCCGACATGGAATACCGACTGATAAAAGCAGGCCCTGAACATTCTCTTCCCTCACCATCTGGGCCACTACGTTGGTCTCGATGTGCACGACTGCCCCGGATATTCTCGAGGCTACGACCTGAAGGCAGGTCAATGTATCACCATCGAACCGTTCGTGCCATCAGTCTTGTTTGCTTCACCTTGAAACACGCTAATGTACACCAGGGGTATCTACGTTCCCAACGACGAGCGTTGGCCGGCCCACTTCCGGGGTATCGGCATCCGGATTGAAGACAGTGTTTGCGTCGGCGACGAACACCCGATTGTTCTGACTCCCGAGGCCGTCAAAGAAGTAAGTCTCCCCATGTTCCCCACGTTTCCAACATTTGCAGTTCTGGACGCTAAACTGTGCCAGGTTGAGGACATCGAGGCACTGCGTAGTTAGAGGTGATGTGTATAGTCGTCCGATACCTTCGAATTTCCATGTACAATAGCATTCGGGCTCCAAGTACGGAGTACTGCATGATTAACTTCAAGACCCCTTAATCTGTCTCTTCCATACCCCACAAGTTTGCCAATAACCTTGCTTAAATTCCTTGGTGGCTGGTCGGGGGCTGTTTGGCTTGGCTGTTTGGAGGCTGGGTCGGGTGGTTGGATGCAACTATATAGGGACTGTAAAGAAGCCAGTCGCAAAGGAGACCGAGAATGAAATAAAAAGAAAGGGAAGAATCCTGGTCGCGGTCAAGGAATGTAATGTTGATGTCCGCGCGCTGCTGTTGGTTGTCGGGCCTCCGCCCAAAACAAACTGAGCTCCACACCACACGACTTGCTTTGATCTTCTCTCCTCCTCTCCTTTAGGACCAACCTCGACTCTCTCTTCTCAACTTCGAGCACCTCTTCACTTCTTCCAGTCCCTTGTTCGAAAATGTTCTTTTAATCGATTTCCCTGTCAAGACGTCTAGCCCGTCGCGTGTTATCCCAGTACCCCTCTCTCCGTCGACATCTGCAAGGCTATCAAACGCGTCAACTCTGCCAACCTGCCCTCCAATGGCAACTGTGTTCGTACCGCCATCGCCACAAACCTCCCTGACTATGGCGACTCGTCGCCCACTCGCAAATGTGCCGAATGCAACCAATTCTCCACACAGGGCAGGCCTTTTGCCTGCAAAACGATCTCGATCAACTCATATGGAAATGCCATACGGACAACCGCCACCAAAGAAACAAGTGATGGACGGAATGGACTACGAAACGGGGAGGTCTGTCATTTCGACGACTCAGAACACGGACTCGAAACTATTTGCCCGACGCTCGAACAACGCGACCCCGAGCGCCTTTGAGAAGAAACTCGTTGCTGCCAGAGAGAAGGAACGCCAGCCGGCAGCTAAACCAGTCAAAGTCGAAAATATGGATTCAATTCGGCAATGGCAGCGCCACTACCGAAAGGCGTTTCCTTCGTTTGTTTTTTACTTCGATAGTATGCCGGAAGAGATGCGACGCAAATGTTCTCGCCAAGTCATTGCACTCGGAGCTGTAAGTAATTTCATATCCTTCTCACTTCTGCTTGCCTCGATCATCCTGATCATTGTCTTCCCCCAACCAAGAGAGCTTTTTTCCTCTTGACTGACATCATTCTAGCGCGAGGAGAAGTTCTTCTCACGTCTGGTGACTCACGTTGTTACTTCACGTACTATCCCTCCCGAATCGGCGGCCGTTGAAACGACCAGTGGCGACAGCAGCGTCCAAACCGTCAATCCTTCTCTCTTGGAGAGGAACGGAGAGCCGCACATTCACACACTCAAAAACGAAACTCGGCGTGACCAAGGAACCAAGGATATTCTTCAACGAGCTCGACAAATGGGCATGAAGATCTGGGCATTGGAAAAGCTTCAGCGTATGATCGCTACAATCAACGACAGTGATATTTGCAACGGCCAATACGACAACATCCTACGCACCAAAGGCGCCAGCGCTGCGCATGGGAAAGGTGAAAATGATCTTTCCCGGGTGCTTCGCCAGGAACTATTGAACGGACCATCTGATCGAGATCCATTGGCATCTATGGAGATGTTGATGTTCAAGGGACCATTCATTTACATCCACGACATGAATGAAAAGACCAAGCCGGTTTTGGTCCGCGAATACTCCCGCGTTGCTCGACGACAGGACGGGGCCTGGCCTCAATTCAGGAGTGCACCTTTGGGCAAATGTCCTTTCATTGACGAGCCCCCAAGCAGAAAGGAGTACGATCGTCATCGACTCCGTCAGCTTCAAAAGGAGAAGAAGGCGGCTGCTGTGAAGGCCGAAGCTCAGCCGAAAGCTCCTGCTTCCGCTCCCAAGACTGCTCAAGAGGAACAGGCAACGGAGCTGGCCAAGCCGACTGCCCAGCATGAGGAGCGTGTTTCGCCACCCATTCAGCAAGACACCCCAAAGCCACCCGTCGATGATAACCTCGAGCGGAAGAGCTCAGAAAGTTTCATCCCTCCCCACTTCCCTCGCACCGGTCCTTTCTATACCGGTCATGAGCCAGCGGCTTCCGGTGTTCAACCGTCTAATATGACATCCGCTATCCGGTCCCAGATGATCTCATCAACTGCTGCAGCACCAGGAGCAAAAGCTGGCTTAAGCAAAGAGGTACACGGTCTCAAGAGAAAGGTGCTCGAGAAGGGCACTGGGGCTTTTACAGCTGGGTCGATGGCCGCGCCTCAACGATCAGCTGCAGTTCCCATGAAGGATAACCTCAACCCCCCGGGCAAATCGAGTGTTTCCCACAATGAAAACCAAGGCCACCAAGATCACGCCGGCTCCAAACGGACCAGAGATGAGAAGGATGCACAGCAGAAGAAGCCCGAAAGGCGAAGGGACCCCAAGCCTGGTTATTGTGAGAACTGCAGAGACAAGTTCGATGACTTTGAAGAGGTAAGATCTGCTGAAGTCTTGTTTTTAGGAAACCGTCACTGACTCTTTCATAGCACACTCTGACTCGAAAACATCGCCGCTTTGCCGCGAACTCAACGAACTGGGCTGAACTTGACGCCCTTCTATCTGAAATCCAACGTCCCCTTAAGGATGAATACGAATATCACGAATAGGCCTGTTGTTCTCTACTGCACGCCATGATTTATTTTGGACCTCGACAGCACCCGTTCTCGAATACCTACACTTCGTCCCTAGTGCCCGTCGAGATTGCATTTTGATTTTAAATTCTTGCCTCACTGCAACTTTCTTCCCGCCCGTCATGTCAGACTTGGACTTCGACTGCATAATCAATCCCTCGACATAGACGCACATGCATGGTGGCGTTTTCTTTGTTCTTCTCTGCATCAGCAACATCATCGACCGGAGGTTTTCCCTGCTTGATTTGACCTGTTCTCAGGTCGTCCACTCATTTACCGCATTTTTACTTCTTCGCATTGTATTCAATATCTCATTTCTCAAGGATCCGCTCTGAATGCCTCGTTCACCGACCGCATTCCTGGATCCACTACCCGTGCCTCGAACTTTGCTATGCGCGCTGTTCTGCTCAAGCGATCACGCAGCCTGTGTTGTGCGTTTCGCGCTTGGATCGTATGACGATTCCAAGATTGAATGGGCTCATGCATATGTCCCTCGGGTCCTTCGCATAGCTCCATCTCACGTTATTCTCTCATGTTTTGGTCCTACGGGCCCACTTTTCCTATCTCAACTTCTCCTTCTGTCTGGCTGGTGGTGCTTTGTTTTCGACATTGCCCAACAGGTAATTGAGTCTCCATGGATGAGACTATCCCATTCTCGTGACATCATTCCCCCGAATAAGCATTTATTTGCCTCGATGATCTCTATGCAGCTTGTATCGTGCTAATTGAAATGTCTGTTCTCAAACGAAGAGTGTAAACAGATCCTCGTAGGCTTGGAAGATCTTAGGGATTCATAGATGTGCTCTGTCCCAATGCGGTAATTACCTCGGCGTCGACGGATCCACCATTCGCCTATTAGGCAGGCGGTGAACTTCACCACCAGGCGGTGAGAGGAAACAAAGCAGTCCCTTGGACAGCCCTTCCAGGGTTGCGAGGTTGGCTTTGTCTTCTTGCACAAGGTCTACGTCCTGGAACCCCGAGATTCCGTCAAGTGCGATGTATCCCTCCCCAGTGACTGTCGCGACCTGGCTGTTCTCGGCGTGACGATATAGAGCCTTGCCCCGCAAAACATCTCGGCAGTCGGCAGTAAAAAGATGCCCTGGGAGAATTTTTGATGCTCCCGTCTACGCCGCATAACCCAGCACGTCCGGACGAATGGATCTATGAAGCTGAGATTTGTCCATAAATACGCTGAGCATTACCAAGGTACTCTACAGCTGACTGAGATTGGTGGTGTGGCCGACTGCTAGCTCGTGTGATCGTGTCTACAGATCCATTGAGCGGATAGAGCGTGACCTGCAAGCCGAAACATCGAATCACATTTCACATCAGGATCCATATTGAATTGATCGAAATAGCCTTGCAAACCACAATGGCAGCACCAAGCCTCGCGCTGCGACGACCAGCGCTTCTTTCATCGTTCGTCAAGTCAGCCGCGCCCTCCCGAACACATTGGAAATACCCCCTCTCCACTCGCTATGATCAATCGCCCCTGGCACCGAGCACACATTCATTGCAAAAACGGCACAGTTCATATTCAGGACCGGCACTGGGTGACAATGGCAAGCCGCGGAAGAAGGTTACCATCCAAACATTGCGGAATCTGTACAAGAAAGGCGAGCCGATCGCCATGTTAACGGCGCATGACTTCCCCAGTGCGCACGTGGCAGATGCGTCGGGGATGGATATCATTTTGGTGGGCGATAGTTTGGGAATGGTTGCCTTGGGATTGGACAATACCACGGAGGTAGTGATGGACGAGATGATTTTGCATTGTCGGAGTGTGGCGCGGGCAGCGAAGAGCGCTTTTATTGTGAGTTTCACAGTCAGATCCTTCACGTGAAGTCGCAAACTGACGTTTGGAATGATAGATCGGTGATCTACCGATGGGCTCGTACGAAGTCTCCGCCGAACAAGCCATTGAATCATCGCTGCGGCTAGTCAAAGAAGGCCGTGTGCACGGCGTCAAAATCGAAGGCGGTGCAGAACTCGCATCTACCATCAAACGCATCACACAAGCTGGGGTGCCGGTAGTGGGACATGTTGGGCTGACCCCGCAGCGACAAAATGCCCTCGGTGGTTTCCGCGTCCAAGGAAAGTCTCGAGCCAGCGCATTGGGCTTGCTGGAGGATGCACTGGCAATGCAAGAAGCAGGCGCATTCATGCTTGTCTTGGAAGCTATGCCGTCGGAGATAGCGGCGATCATCACAAAAAAACTCCACATCCCGACCATAGGGATTGGCGCTGGCAAGGGCTGCTCGGGCCAGGTCCTTGTGCAGGTTGACATGACAGGCAATTTCCAGCCTGGTCGGTTTGTTCCAAAATTCGTGAAGCAATATGCCGATGTCTGGGGAGAGGCGGCGCGGGGCATCTCGCTCTACCGGGATGAGGTCAAGAGTCATGAATTCCCTTCCGAGAAATACACATATCCCATCACGCCCGATGAACTCGCCGCCTTTGAGAAGGCCGTGGGCGAGATATATGGCGAGTGATGATCGCGCCAGTAATCCTTATTGTTTCCAGTGACCGTTCTGCATGTGACATAGCCCATTCCATCATCATTGTACATAGCATCTGCCGTCTGCTTGCGCTGTTCTAACCGAAGGCTGGCGTCATTGAATATGCGACGATCAATTGGTCGTCGGTCTTGAAGCACTATATCGTAGGCTGGCGTTAGAATATCCAGTCCGCATGTAAGAGTAGCGCTACTCACTCTCCAAAGCCCGCCCACTCCTTCATCCAAGCCAGGGGCGAATACGCTGTTGACATAACAGAAAACCGAATCGGTCTCTTTGCAATCCAGCTTTTTGCGGAGGAACTTGACGACGGTTTCGAATTTCTGTGACGCGCTGACCTTGAACACTCTGTTCTTCAGAATCGGGGCAGATGGCAGAGGCTGGAACCGTACGGTGACTATGATGGTCAGTTGCAACTCCAATGCGAAGGAAAGCACACTCACCCTTCCCTGAATCAATAGTCTCGACGTCTGCCAGTGCCTGTGTTGCGTCCCGAGGGAGATTAGTTAGCATGACCGAGGCCGACATGTTCATTTGGAGATCTGCGCCATGGTCGTCTGGTATGGGAGCGCTGGGGGCATCCGCATTATGAGGACGAAGAGGGAGGTCGTCTGCGCTTGGATTCATGTTGGTGAGATGAGGTGTTGTGAAGGGGACGTGGAGCGCGGCAACCTTATTGGCCCCGCACTCTCTCCTCTCCTTTCTCCGCGATGCACTTCACTTCCAAGGCTGCTTGACAGTAACTTGGAGCAACGTCTTGATTCCGACAAGTTGCAAACTCCGGTTGCGATGGGTGAATCCTCACACTACGGAGTACTCGGTGACCACTTATGGCAATGGACCTTGCAGGCTCTCTGCCTGGGATTGGCTCTTGAATGGAGTAGATCGGGCCCGTTGACGAGCTGTGCACTGAGGTAGTGATCTACTGGCTTTGAGAACCTTGGAAGTCAAAGAGAGATCAATGGTAAAGGGAGAAGGCGCCCCCAACGGAGTTCACGGAAACTGCAATGTCAACACATCCAAATCAGATCATTCCATGACCCTCTCTCCGATTTTTCTTCAAACCTATCTATCTCTCGATGTCTCTCTCATCAGCTTCACCAAGATCCCAGTTATGACGCTCGTCTGGCATGGTCACTTCTCCTTCGATGGCACTCAGTTTACGACCAGTCCCCAGGAAGATTTCCGCGTCGCCCGAGTGACCAACGAAGAGCTGCGTGATATCTCCGACCCAAGCGGCAGATCTGATCCTGATCTGCCTTGGTATCAAGCACAGCTGATGCACTTTGGCCTCCCGGCGTCAAACCACAAGCCAACTGCGAAGATGCGCCTTCTCGACGCCTTTCAGGATGGGACTTTGACTGTACCATGCGGGATCCTCAAACTGGAAGACCAGTTGCGGAAAGAATGGAGATCAAGATATCTCGAAGGCGACTTGCAGGCTCTGTCTCTGGATACGGGCAATACTGTGAAAGCGACCATCGCCTCTGAGGCACCTGCGGCTCATTTGGGCTCCCCATTCTGCCCAGGAGAGCACATCGGCACCGGAAGGACGTGCCAGAACCAGTCACAGAAGAGAAAAGCAACAGGGCGCCCTGATCTGCAGGTGCATCAACCGAAGAGAACTAAGTCTGAGGGACAGGCATTTTGCCCCATCCAGAATTTTGCACGAGGCGATGGCTGTTATGGTGTCACCTTGAGCTCGCACTTCAACGCTCACAACCCCACCACTATGTCCCAAGGCAAATTGGCTCCCAGTTCTCGCTCAGAGGCAGAATCGACCGCGAATCCGCTCTCATTGCCCAGCACAGCCAACACACAGACTCGATGCCAGCCCAGCGCTTTCTCATGCCAGTCAGACCACCCAGCAGTAAGGTGATCTTGACCAATATCCGCATCTTCCCATTGTCTCACAGGAACTCCTAGGACCAAAGCTTTTGTGGTGCCACGCACAAAGAATTTGGGACTCGATGGGATCGTTGATTACCAACGAGGCATCTAGCCACATATCATGGACCGAGTTCATTCAGCACAGGACAACAGCCACATGCGTTTGTTTGGGAATGATTATGCACTTGCATCTGTGGCCAGAGTCTTGGCTATCACTAATGGCACGCATCGAAATGTACAGTGTGACTTGCACTTTCTATCGACCTGAATACGACCTCTGACCTGGAGGTATGGGGCGATTTTTACTCAACGGCCGTCAGCAGAATCCTGTACGGCTTGGACCCCCAAACAGGAGTGTTGTCTCAGATTCCGCTAACCACATGGCACAGAATGTGGCTTGGGATCAGCACATGGTATGTCTCTTGAGAATGGCACATATCTATCTCTTCCATTGTCCAAACCCTCATATTCAGAGGCCAGAAATCCCTTGAGCAATACCTGTCTCTGCCAGGAAGTCCGAACAGAATAAAGAAGCATTGGGTCAGTCTTGGTTGATGGAAGCAGTCACGTTCTCTGGTGCATCAGCACCCAGGTAACCGCCTGGGCACAAGTTTGTGTAAATGGATTCCGATAGCGATGGAATGAAATAAACCTCAGCTCTTGATGTCTATCATTGGAGAAAAAGCCACTATGTACGGCCGGGGGTATTAAAGAATGATATACAGCGTGCTTGTGTATCAGCGAGTGCAAACTGAAAGGGAGCATCAACAAGCCCAAGTGACCTTTCCCACTGTGGGTCCAGATACCATGGCTTGATCAACGTCACTTCGAAGACCGGGGCTTGCTGGATCTGGTGTAGCGGCATGAGCCAATCGTCCAAGCACTTTGTGACGTGGGGATATAGATGCACCACCAGACTTCGGAGGTTTGGCATTTTTTCAGCCAGAACCCGACAGCACGAATCCCAAGTCGGTCCACCAGGATCTGAAAAACTGAGTTGAACCGTTCGAATCATACTCATGCGTTGTGGCAACAGCGTGAGAGACAGATCCACGATTGTGGCTGTATTGTTAAAAAGAAACATGTTGTTTTGATACATCATGTCAATGGTCTCGGCGTATCTGTCGGTGTGTTAGGACGGAGTATCACGAAGCCAAACGGGCGTAAGCCTACATTAGTCGACATGTCTGCAACAATGGCACAAAATCCACTCTCCCTGTATCGAATTCCCACTCCTGGTCCTCGTGCCACCGTGAATCAACGTGCTTGATAACTTCGACGCAGCCACCTGTCGGCCGACGTGCTCGCTGTCCCCAACAATGATGACTACATGGGCAGTAATCCCGACTTTCGCGGCAGAATAATCCTATGATTTTTGAATCGGACTGTTTCCACGTATGTTGATTGGAGAGTATGACATGGAGCTTCTGATCGCATAAATACCGCCCCCAGATAAGCAGTCGAATCTCAACCGGAAGACGGCTGAAGAGAGGAAACTGATGCTGGTCAAATGTTTGCTGTTCCCGCTTGGAACGCGACAGGCGCCATGGCCGACTTGATGACGCCTGGACAGGGTTGTTTTCTGGGATGGGGGGCGTCAGTGGCCGACGACCAACGAGAGAGTTATCTTTGAAGCTCCCGCTGTCCCCGTTTTCAGGATGATGCTTCTTTTTGAGCGTCAGTCGCCTCCACTCCCACTCATCCCACATTCTTAAAGGCGTCATATCCTCCGATCAGCCAAGGATCTTCGTGTTCTATCACGGAGTTGAGTATTGCCAGCGTGGATTGTAAGTGATTAAGCGGGGGAAGATGGAGCTCGGTGCCTAGGCGCCAGCAAAGGGCCACTGGAGCACGTTGGCGTGGGGGCCAAATTCTGCCGGCTCAAGAAGTGTGAAGAATGAAAGAACCGCGCACAAACTTGCTGTCAACTGGTCCACTTGGTTAGTATAAATCCCACTTCCGGCTGCCTTCAGCTTCTTTCGAGGTTCAAGTTTTGCATCAGTCAAGTATCCGACGTTCGACTCACCCCGTGAAGACATATATCCCCGGGCGCTTGTTGAGCGCCACCATGAGCGCTCTGATCTGCTCACTGAGCATCCCCTGATAGTCACCTGAGCCTGATCCAGTCACTGATCATCATCCGAGTGCCCTGATTCGCTCGCTGAGCATGAGCTGAGCATAGGCAGCGGTTTGAGTAAGATACTTAATACAATACAACACGCTAGTTGCATCACATACAACTCTTCTTTAATATATGAAACGAGCTTACTCGAACTACCCATTCAGCCACGGATCCTGAAGTAGATCCTTCGCTGTCTTTCTGTCTTCAGGTCGCCACTGAAGCATCCCTCTCATAAAAGCAATGAACATCTCCTTGTTCGTTCCCTCAAGCATCTCTTCTGACAGTTCCAAACTGACTCCCGTCGGGATTTCTATGTCTTGCTTCCATTTCCCTATAAGATTGTCTTTGTAAGCCTTTTGCAAATTACATTGAGCGAGAAAAGGATACTTACCATCGTCGGTGAAGAATTCATGGCTTCGTTTTCCACGCTGGAGCATATCCAAAGGAGGTGGCCCGAGAACACCCATGACTTCTGCAAGATGCGCCCGGGTCGAATACCCTTTGCCATCAGGATCATTCCCATAGAAAAGGTGTCTCCCCTCAAACAAATCCCACACCTATTATTCCTCAGTTTAGTACATCATACTGAAAGTAAACAGGTACAGCATACCATGACACCAACATTCCATATGTCAACAGGATAGCTCCAATCAGTTTTCAACATTACCTCCGGCGATCTATAAATATTTGGCTGTGCATCGTGGTTCCTCCTCTCATCTCCTCGTACTACAGAGCCGAAATCACTCAAAACCGCTCGGCCAAACACCTTCGGCAAGTCGAAACGTCGTGAAGCATATACCGGCATGCCATTGACGATGTTGCGGGGTGATGGGCTTTCCAACTCAGCTTGGGTAAAAATTTCCAGGATGGACTTGTCTTCTACTTCTTGGAGAATGTTATCGCTTTTGATGTCTAAAGATGCAGGTCAGAGAAAGGGACTTTGACAGGGTTTGATCATCTTACCTGTGTGGACAAGATTGCATTCAGTGTGTAGGTAGTCAAGTGCAAGAAAGATTTGCATAAGACCAGATTTGAGGAGATCTTCAGTAAATCGATGGTTGGGATTACGATACAGAAGGTCTTTGAAGCTCTCCCACATCGGGTTTTGAACCAGACACGGATGGTCACCGCTCGAAGAGGAGATTGTGAAGAGATCCAGGGCTTTCCTTATATGAACATGGCCAGGGTGCCATGGACTTTTGTTCAGTTGCTTGTAGACCTGAAACTCTCCCTTCTCTTCGTCACGGGTGTAGATTTTGAGTGACACGTATCGATGACCTCTGTTTCCGTCAGTGTTTAATCAAGAAAAGTAGATCTACCCTGACTTACTCAAGATCACGGGCGAGCCATACGGTGGAAGTTGTCCCAAAACCAAGTTTACCAACAATCTGGTATTTGGAACTCAGCACGTCCCCGATATTAGCAGGATAGTATTTTCCCTGTTTGAAATGCTCAAACCGTTCCTCGTCAAGCACCTCAGGACGAACGGTTTCAAAGCCACTGGGAAAATATATGGGAGGCGAGGGAGGCCTTCGAAGCGCATTTGAGGCCCATCTCGTGATTTTAGCCATGTTTGACATGTGGAAGAACAGGCTGGCTTCGTTAAGATGTCATAAACAGAGGGACTACTCGGACCAAAAGGCAAAACATGCAAAAAAGCAATGTATTGAGAGTTGTGAGGAAGAGAGAGGGAAAAAGAGAGCAAGATCTAAAAACTATGGAAAGGAAGCATCACATGACTGCTTCAACAAGGTGAGACAGGAAGAATGTAGGATGAAGGTAATGAAACCTTGCAAGTTCGAAATGATGAGTCAAATTCAGAGATGTGGCAGATAAACCTCTCCCGTTTCCCTCCCCAGTCCATTCAGAGATCCTTTCCCCTTTCGCTCCATGATGCCCAGGTGAGGAACTACCAAGGCCTATCTCTGGCTGGTGGGGGTGTGCTCTCCAGGGCTGGCTCCCCCCGGGGCCAGCCTATGTTCGATGTGCAACTTCTCGTGACCCCCAGCCCCCACCACCCGGGCAGATGTCCCCGGGCGCTTGTTGAGCGCCGCCATGAGCGCTCTGATTTGCCCAATGCGCAGCCACTTCACCAGTTCCCTGCGCCAGGGTGGGTCATCCAATCTTCGCCCTTCAGCAGATAGAAGTGGTGATCACCTGACAGGGGGCGGGGTCTGAGGGCTGAGGATGCGTCTTGTCGGGACTTGACTTCTGCTTCGCATCATTTCCCTCACTGTCAGCCATGAGTACGACATCAGCCAATTTTTCTGGCACAAATGATGGGTCTCAGGTTGTATACAATTATGGAACGGTACATACCTCTTCTGGTACGTGTCATTTCGCTGTTATTCAGGTCAAATTGACTGATAGTTTGCTCCAGGGCGACCAGAAGCAGCACAGCAGGACATAGACAAAGGTCCGCCTGACTTTGCACCCGCCATTGAAACGCACTAACAGATCCCCGGAAACAGATGTGCAAAGATCGCTGGCATTCCCAGAGATGTTCGATCGGAAAGACAATCTCGATCCACGTCACGGCAATACCTGCCAGTGGATTCTAGAGTTGGAAGAATACCGTTCTTGGAGAAGTCGGCCATGTGGTCTACTTTGGATCAAGGGAAAGCCGGGTGCGGGCAAATCGACCTTAATGGCGTTCTTACACAACACACTCGAAAGGCCAGACCCAAATCCCGAGACTCGACTCGAGTTTTTCTTCAGTGCGCGAGGCACAGAGCTGCAGCATACATCCCTCGGAATGTTCAGATCCTTGTTGAACCAGATTTTCGATGGCGACGAGACCGTGCGCCCTCTCGTGCGCGAATTCTATAACCAGCGATGTCGGCTTTTTGGCGGTCAACGCACATGGGAATGGCCTCTGAACAAATTGGAAGAGTTGTTGGCAGATACAATCCTGGCATCAGCTAAGCGAAAGCCTATCATCGTCTTTGTGGATGCACTCGACGAAGCTGGCGCTACATCCGCCCGACAGCTAGCACAGTATTTTCATCAGCTTGTGGATCGCGCTGAGGAAGCGAATCTGCCCCTTCAAGTTTACATCTCCTGTCGCCACCATCCAATCGTGGAAACTGCTCAGGCGACAGAGCTATGCGTTGAAAATCACAACCACGAAGACATCGCCACATATGTCAGGGATACCCTTGCCGAGGCGAATGTTGAAGAATACGTCCATCAACGGGAAATGGACAAATTGGTCCAGCACTTGATCAGAAAAGCCAATAGGGTTTTCCAATGGGTCCATATCATGGTCCCTCGGGTCATTGATGATATTTTCGAAGGGCAAACACTTGACGAAATTCCTTCGTGGTTGAGTGAAGTCCCAACCGAGCTAAAGGATCTTTATACGTACATCCTGAATCACAAGATCCTGCCAAAGAACCGGGAGCAGTCAATTCTCTTTTTCAAATGGGTATGCTTTGCCGAGAGGCCTCTGACTGTGGTGGAAATGCGTTATGCCTTGGCCGCTCCAAATGTCCAATTCATTCCTTTTCAACATGCATGGGAGAAACTTCCCGGTTTTGTGGATGATGATGATCGAATGGTGACGAAAGTCAAGGCTCTTTCCGGTGGACTAGCCGAAATAGTCTCAGGTTCAACCGAGGAACCCGACAAGACTATTCAGGTAGTCCACGAGTCAGTCAATGACTTCTTTCATGAAAGAGGATTAGCGCTTTTATATCCTGATTCCAGCAATAGTTTATCATCCAGCAAGGAGACGCTCATATCACAATGCCAAGCAACTCTCTATCGATCATGCCTGCTTTATCTTGCTGCAGTTCTTTTACCTCGAAAGACACGCGGTAGAAACAGTACCCCCCAAGGGAAGGGTCTCCGGAATGATCCTTTCCTTCATTACACCTCTATGAATATTTTCATTCACGCAGAAAAAGCCGGCCAGTCTCGAGTTGGCGCGCTGCAAAACGAACTCGATATTCTGCACCAAGTCATCCCGCGATGGGTCGAAGCTTGGCCTCTTCTCCGCACGCATTCCCTAGAGCTCCGAGAGCTCCAACCAGAAACGGGGACAACAGTCCTACATCTAGTTGCCTATGCTAATATGCTTGATATCCTCGAAATTGAAGCATCAAGCGGTGCGGATGTCATGGCGAAAAATTTCAATGGGGATACACCATTTCACTTCGCAGCGCGGAGAGGCCATACAGCAGCCGCCAAGATACTCTGGAGACAGGGAGATGAAGAAACAGAAAACAAGATAGGACTGACGCCCTTAGGCGCGGCCGCTGGTTGTGGACATCTTGAATTTGTTGAGTGGCTTCTGGACAAGGGCTTAGGTCTCCAAGCAAAAAGTGGATGTGGGCTGCAAGAAGCCTCATTTCAAGGCCACCAGGCTGTTGTGGAAACTTTGATCGGAGCCGGGGCAGATGTCAACGCCCAGGGTGGTTACTATGGGAGCGCCCTACAGGCTGCTGCCACTGAGAGCACTGAGATAGTTCAGATACTTCTCGATCACCATGCCGATGTCAACGCCCAGGGCGGTCACTTTGGGAGCGCCCTACAGGCTGCTGCATCCTATGGCAAAACCGAGATTGTCCAGATACTTCTCGATCACCATGCCGATGTCAACGCCCAGGGTGGTCAAGATGGGAGCGCTCTACAGGCTGCTGCCACTGAGAGCACTGAGATAGTTCAGATACTTCTCGATCATCATGCCGATGTGAACACCCAGGGTGGTTGCTATGGGAGCGCCCTACAGGCTGCTGCATCCTATGGTAAAACTGAGATAGTCCAGATACTTCTCGATCACCATGCCGATGTCAATCTCCAGGGTGGTCACTATGGGAGCGCTCTACAGGCTGCTGTTGCTGCTGAGAGCGCTGAGATAACCCAGATCCTCCTTGATCACCATATTGATGTTAACGCCCAGGGTGGTTGCTATGGGAGCGCCCTACAGGCTGCTGCATACTTTGGCACAACTGAAATTGTCCAAATAATTCTCGATCATCACGCCGATGTCAATCTCCAGGGTGGTCACTATGGGAGCGCCCTACAGGCTACTGCATTTACTGGTCACATCGCGATTGTGCAGATACTTCTCGATCATCATGCCGATGTCAACGCCCAGGGTGGTCACTATGGGAGCGCCTTACAGGCTGCTGTATACCGTGGCAAAACGGAGATTGTTCAGATACTTCTCAATCATCATGCCGATGTCAACGTCCAGAATGGTGAAGTTGGATCACCCCTGCTGGCGGCCTTCATTAAAGGCGAAGCTAATCTAGTCGACATACTCCTTCATGCTGGTGCCGATTGCCTGCTTTTGAATGAACTTAACTGCACCTTTCTTCATTTAGCGGCTTCAAAGAATATGGCTCATATCCTTGGGCGATTTCCACAACTTGCTTCTGTTCTCAACCATCGTGACAAGATCTTACGAACTCCGCTCCAAGTGGCAATACTTTCGGGCTATTTTGAGTCTGCTGTGACACTCCTCAGTCGCGATGCAGACCCTTCCCTTACAGATGGTTATGGCAGAAACGCCTTGGACTGGGCACAAGGACACCAAATTCTGACGAAAGAAATTTATCACCACTGCCCTAGCCTCACATTAACGTATCCCGAGATTCAAGAAATGTGTGTGCGTCAATCACTCTATCGTATTTCTGATATGCTTTCTTGCTCTAAGCTGACACATCCATGGCCTGTTTTGCATCAAGCAGGTCGTTATTTCTTGTTTCTCAAAGACGTGAGCAGTGCAAACCATTTGCTCCAGCTCTTCCTTGAGATGTACATAACACGCAGCTGCACTAGTTGCAGTAGCTGCGCTCGAAATATAGACATTCTCATTGTGTGCAAAATCTGCCCCCATTCACTTTTTTGTTCGTGCGCACGTCATACCCCCGAGCATACCGGGCTCTTGCCAGATGAAAAACATGAGCTCCTTGAAATCACCGATGTGCCCAACGAAGACTTTCCACCTTTTGATCCAAAATCGGAGTCACTGGAACTTTACTTGAGCAATTTCATCCGCAAACGACTTGGACCAAATGTCGATGTCAATGAGACAGAGCCGTCAAATGACTCTATGGCTCATTCAGCATCAGACAAGGCAGATTCTGTTCCGAACCACATCTTCAGTCAATCGAAGATCATCTTTGCAGTTTTTTTCGGACTTTTGGCTATTTTGTTGGGAGTTTTGCTCTTTTAGAATTGTTTGAATGTATTTCGCATGTTCATTAATATGCTACGAAGCGGCACAGAGGCCACAACCCAATCTTCACCCATATTCCTTAGCTGGTTGCCACAGATACCCGGTGGAGTAGGAAGAGCGCGATGGCAGTCTGACGAAGGAGACAGGACGTCCTCGGGATGCCCAACCAGAGATCCAGGTATCCAGGCATCCCGACCTCTGGGGGTTATACTAACAATCTGATTCGCTCAGTAGGATTGGATTGGCGGTCTCCATACAACGACGCACCCCTTTTTATCACATGCACTCAGAACGCTCCCATCGTCCCACCCAAAAAGAACTGCAATCACCAACAAGACCGTTTATTTGAATGGTCTCTCCCTACTCAAGCGGCAAACGATAGCACGGCCTCGTGTATAGTTTGAGATGCAAGCTCACTCCTAGAGAAGAAAACTACTCCTTCCCCAAGGTCAACTGGCACATCGAAGGGGCCCTTGCCACGCGGTATATCCATGATGCCTTCTGATCATGCCAAGTGAAAGATTCCTCACAAAGTTCTATGTCAAAGTTCCAAAGGAGGCGGCTCAGACTCAGGCGCAGCTCAATGTAGGCCAGGTTCCGACCGATATAGCTGCGCGAGCCCGCAGAGAATAGCTGAACGACATCCCGCTTGTCAGAGAAGAAAGGCGAAGCTGGGTCTGTTTTCGCCTCCGGCAGCCATCGCTCTGGAAGGAAGGATTCTGGGGTGTGGAAATTCATCGATGACCAAGATGCGGCTAGTGGGTGGACAGGCACGCTTGTCTGCATTGGAGAAAATTAGGGATCTGTAGATCAAAGAACAATTCTAGTGTCGAAGAAACTTATGCCCGGTGGAATCGCTTGTCCTGCGATGCGGTCCGGTTGGGACGGGTAGAGCCGAACGGCTTCTTGGATACAGACCCACATGTAGGGGAGTTGGACGGCGGTCGAGGTAGAATTGATATTCGATTCGAGTTGCATGATGATGCGCGCCTCGTGAGTGACTTTTTTCGTGTACGTCCGGGTTCCGAAGGAGGAAATAGGTGACACCGGCGAGCAGACTGGCCGTTGTCTCACTGCCGGCGACAATAAGGATGTTTGCATTGGCAACGAGCTATCGTCTGTCAGGCCGTCTTGTTCTCCGCGATTTCCGGTCATGGAGTCCATGAATTCCCCGCGATTGTAAGCTTAGAAGGTCGCCAGGGGTTTCATTACTAACGCACGAGTTTGGGCGTTTTGCTGTTTCTGACCCTCCAACAGCCGTTGCGGTATCATCAGTGAGATCACACCGAACAGCATTGGATAGGGGTCACGCATCTTTCCAAAGGGAAAAAGCCTTATCGACTCGAATATTGTCTTCGCCGTGTCATGTTACTCGGCGCTGGCAACCCACTGAACGGCTCCTCAAAAGAGAGATCGCCAAAAACACCCAAGGTGGTCAATTCGTAACCGTTGCTCAGGTCTGCCGGTGACTGAGTGCTACCCCTAATTTCAGCTGAGTGAGTAGTTGGTCCACATATTTGTTGACAAACGGCTCTTGCGCCTGTAAGCCTTTCGTAGAGGTGGACGTGAGTAACGTCCAAGGTTACTGTGAGAATGACCTGCCATGATTCTCTGTAGAAGGGACGGCCTACAAAGGTAAATAGGGGGACATCTGGAGAGGCTAAAAGACCATGAATTGAGAGTAAGAAAAAAGAGAGAAAAATCTGGGAAGAGAGCAAAATCCAGAATTATATACAAGAGAATCACCATGTGATCCTAACACGAGCTTCCCACTTCCGGCAACTGGCCATGCTTGTTACTATGGCCGTATGTATCTATCATGCCAGAGCTCTCTGTAAAGCATAGATGATTTACAAGGAATTGAGATTAAGCTCTGCCAACCTTGGAAGGCATCCATACCGTGTGTCGAAGAAATCTAAATGATCTACATTTTGCATTTGTGCTAGATGCTAACTCACGACTGGCGGAACTGTCGCGTCAGGCTGGCTGTTTCCTTCAGCGAGGCCACCAACCTTCGAATCTGCCCGCAAAAGTCACCTTGATCTACCAACGCTCAAGACTGCCATCCTATCTCTCACGTCGACAACATATCTTCCAGCATTGCAAGTCCCATCAAGCAGATCACGGCGCATCCCAATTGCCCACCAACGAGATCAACACATGCAGTTCTCTGGAGCAAAGTGATACTTCGCGATGGAGCAAAAAAGAGCAACCGACGACTTGGGTGCTGGGAGCGATCCAGGCACTTGCACAAATCCGCCCTGACCACCCGGCCATCTGCACCAGCACGGAAACACTATCGTACGCGGAACTGGACCACATCACCACAAAATGGGCCAGCTATCTTCAGGCGTGAGGAGTGGGACCCGAATGTCTGGTCCCGATCATGATGGATCATTCGATGTGGGCTGTAGTCGCGGAAATCACAAAACTGAAAGCCGGAGGCGCATTCGTGCCATTGGATCCAGCTCAACGAGCAGCTCGACTGGAAGACATTGTCCACCAAACCAACGCGACACTGGCCATTTCTTCAAGCAGCCACGTTGATGCGCTGTCAAGTCTCGTCTCTGATGTTATTCCAATGTCCGAGACATCGGATCTTCTCATGGCCCCCATGGGTACCTTGACCCCGGTGATTCATGATCGCACTGGCTATGTCCTCTTCACATCTGGAAGCACAGGAAGGCCCAAGAGATGCGTTGTCAGTTATAGGGCTCTGAGTGACGTTGTGCATCAAACTCCAGCACTTCATATCATGCCCGAGAGCCGTGTGTTGCAATTCGCTTCATACACCTACGGAATGTCTCTGATTGAGATTCACTGCGCACTGTCGGTAGGGGCGACTATATTTGTACCTCCCAATCACGAAAGACTGAATGAGCTGAATGGTGTGATTTAATCGATGCAGATGACGTGGGCCATTCTGACACCTTCAACGACGTTGTCGATCGCGGAGTCGGTCGACTGCTTCCAGACATTAGCTGTCGGAGGTGAACCCTTGACACTCGACCGCGTTGAAGTTTTGGCAGACAGAGTCGAGTTGATACAAGTACTCGGACTAACAGAATGGGGCGGAGTTTGTTGCGTCTCGCAACCAATCACGTCAGAGTCCGATAGACGAGTTGTTGGCCGTTCACCGACTGCGCATCTGTGGCTCGTCAACCCAGCGACAGTAACAAACTGGCCCCTGTCGGCGAAGTGGTTGAGCTACTGGTAGGGGGTCCGGCACTAGCAGACGGGTATCTGGGACAGCCTGAAAAGACAGCGGCTGTTTTCTTGAAACCCCCTCTGTGGCTGCCACCATCGCCACCGGATGAACATTCGTATAGATCCGGCGATCTGGTACAATACACAACCAATGGAGAACTTCGGTATATCTCGCGGAAGGATAGCCAAGTCAAGATTAGGGGTATGCGAGTCGAACTGGCTGAAGTGGAATATCACATTCGCCAAGCAGATCCCCATCTCAACCAAGCCATTGTCGAGGCGTCCACTCCAAAGAACTCCAATGGCATTCCTCTCCTCGTCGCCTTTTTGCATTCTGCGGACAAAGAAGCTTTATCAGGAAAGGCCTTCTCGAACATGGTCGAAAAGATCAAGCATTCTGTCTCTTTGGTGCTTCCAGATTACATGCGCCCAGGGGCTTATGTTCCGCTAGAGTCAGTCCCAGTGACAATCTCGAAGAAGGTGGACAGGAAATCTTTGAAAGATTCCATCCTCACGTCGACACGCGAAGAGCTAGAGGGGCATCAAGCTGCCTCCGCATCGATAGTCACCGGGGAGACCGATCTTGAGCGACTCACCCTGCAGTTGGTATCTCAAGTGCTCAAATTGGAGCCAGCATCTGTCGGGTTGGGCCACAATTTCGTCAGCCTCGGTGGTGATTCCATTACAGCTATGATGTTGGTCAACAGACTGATGAAAAGTGGCTACAAGACCACTGTCGGAACGCTTCTTGCTGCAAAAACCCTCTCTGACATCGTTATCCTGATCCAATCCCATGTCAGACCTGTTGTCGATGCCAGGCCACAGAACTGCACCAAAGGCGACGCGCAGGGGAACGACCAAATGGAAGCAAACAGTTATCTGTCTATTCCTAGACTTGTTCACGTTGGTCCTACCGAGCAATCCTTTTCGCAAGCGAGAATGTGGTTCTTGCAACAGATGGAACCCGCCTCGACATGGCTGCTCCTCCCACACGCTACTCGCCTACGGGGTGAGTTGAGCCTCGAAGCTCTGAACAAAGCTGTTTCTGTTGTGGTCGAGCACCAGGAAGCTTTGCGGACAAGGTTCATGAGTCGCAATGGAATAGGATTCCAAGTTGTTTCCTCCTCGATGCCTTCACCTTGGGAGGTGGTTGACATGAGCTCCGCGTCGAACGAAGAGCTTATGAGCAGCATCCATAAGCAGCAAAACACGCCAATGGACCTAACGGAGGAGTGCTGGCGGGTCGTCATCTTCCGGCTGTCGCCCACAGAGCATGTACTTTCAATTGTACTGCATCATATCATCGCTGACGGCTGGTCGTTTGATATCTTTGTGAAATCAATGGCAAGATATTATAATGCACTCGTCCGAGGACAATCTTTGGTCGACGGCGAGGCGCCTCCCAAGATCCAATATCGGGACTTCACCGTCTGGCAACGACGAGAGAAGACCGGCCTGCATGAAGAACAGCTCGCTTACTGGGAATCCCAGCTGGAAGGCAGCCAGCCCCTGGAGTTTTTATGTGACAAGCAGCGACCCGCGGTGCTCTCCGGTAGAGCTGGGTGGCTACCAGTGAAGATTGATGGCTCTCTTTATCAGGACCTGCATGCCTTCTGTCGGTCTCGCCAAGTCACCCCGTTCTCCACTCTATTAGCTGCCTTCCGAGCGACGCACTTTCGCCTCACCGGGGCCAGTGATGCAACCATTGGCATCCCCGCTGCCGCTCGCACGCACAGCGAGTTGGAAGACCTCATTGGCTATTTCGGTAAAGTTCAATGTATTCGAACAAAGGTCGAAAGCCAAGACCAGACCTTCAGTCAACTCGTGGATCATGTCCAGTCGGTGACCACAGCCGCCTTTGAGAACCAAGATGTACCCTTTGATCAGATCGTTTCCAAGGTTTTGAAGGAACGCGATTTGTCTCGCCATCCCTTGGCCCAGGTTACATTTGTCCTCCACCCGCAGACCAACTTCTGTCAGCTGCAACTAGAGGAGCTCCAGGTGGAACAATTGCGTCTGCCGCAGGTGTCGAGACTCGATCTTGAGGTCCATTTGTATCCCGCAGATGACTTCATTCAAGGAGACATACAATACTCCGTGGACCTTTTCGACGAGAAGACAATGCAAGGAATGCTCTCGGTGTTCTACGATGTTCTTCGCGAAGGTCTCCGCCAGCCAGACACTGATTTTGGCTCCCTTCCCTTCACCGACGTTTATCAATCCTTGGGTAAACAAGGGCTGACAAGTCCAGAGCTTCAGGCTCCAAGCTCCGAAATGAGCATCATTCACATGTTCCATGAACAGGTTGCCGCGCACGCAGATGAAATTGCTGTCCGAGACATGAAAGGCGAGCTCACCTACTCCGAGCTCGATCAGAGATCCTCCCTTCTAGCTGCCTTTCTGGCGAAGGGATGCTCCTTTTCTTCTGAGGCACCAGTTGGGGTCTACGCTCCACGGTCCTGTGAGGGTATTGTTGCCAATTTCGGTATCATGAAGGCTGGCCTCACGTACGTCCCTCTGGATGTCGATGCTCCCGTGGAGCGGATTGAGACCATACTGTCCTGCCTTCCCACATGTGAGCTGGTCATGATGGGATCTGATCAAAAACCCCCTGCTGTGTCTGCACCAAGTGTTAGATTTGCTTCTATCGCGGACTCCTTGTCTGATGTGGCAGCGGAGGAGTTGAACGAATTTTTGAGCGCCTCAACTCCCACCTATCCCACCAGCCGGGCTTGTATACTGTTCACATCCGGTACAACCGGAAAGCCCAAGGGGGTAATGATGGAACAGTATGGGATTGTTCGATTGTCCAAAGATCCTGAAATCGTCGCTCATGTCGCCACATCCAAGGTATCGTCGTTCCTGCTGAACCCTGTGTTCGATGCCTCCGGGTTCGATATTTATCCAGCTTTGTTGAACGGTGGGACCCTGGTGTGTATCGACCGACAGGCCGCCTGGGACTATAGCTTGATGGAGGAGATATTCGTCAAGAACGAAGTGCGACGTGCTGTTATGACTCCAGCCATCCTGAGCCAGTGTCTTGTCTCTGCGCCAGCCATCTTGACCGGGCTCAATATTCTATACATCGGAGGCGACAAATTAGAGCCCGCTGACGTTTCCAAAGCACGGCGCTGCAACGCAGACCTACTGATCTTGAATTGCTATGGACCGACCGAGAACTCGGTCATCAGCACCCGCTACGCCGTCCCGAGCCACGAGGTCGGCGTCAATGGTATCCCAATCGGCCGCTCAATCCATGAATCGGGAGCCTATGTCATGGACCGCAATATGCAACTAGTACCGATCGGTGTCCTGGGCGAGCTGGTGGTTACCGGACTGGGCCTTGCTCGCGGCTATGTCAACCCCGAAGACGACCTCAACCGATTTGTGACGATCGATATCGACGGGCACCCTGTCCGGGCATACCGTACTGGCGATCTGGTTCGATACCGGCCAGTTGACGCACAAATGGAGTTCTTCGGTCGCATGGACCAACAGGTCAAGATTCGAGGCCACCGAATCGAACCCGGAGAGATCGACAATCTCTTGCTGATCGACGATTTGGTAACGTCTGCTTCAACAGTACTGCAGAAGCGAGATGCGCAGACGGAGCCCGAGCTCGTCAGCTTTGTAACCGTCGAAGAAGCAGGGCAGCGTGTTGCAAGCGTGGAGGCCCAGGTTCTGACGACGCATGTCGACTCCTGGAGGACGAAAGCAGATTCAGATGATCATTACGGTGGTGTCAACACCATTCGACCAGAGGCTCTCGGCCGTGACTTCCTGGGCTGGGTCTCAATGTACAGTGGCGAGCCAATCGATGAAACGGACATGAAAGAGTGGCTGGATGACACTATCGCCACCATTCGCCAGTTTGAGCCCAAGCGGGTGCTAGAAATTGGAACAGGCACAGGCATGATTATGTTCAACCTCATCAACCGGCTTGATCGGTACAGGGGGCTCGACTTGTCCAGTCAGGCGGTGCGCTTTGTTCAGGATGCAGCTGGTTTAGTTGATGGAGCAGCGGAGAAAGTCAATGTTCAGGTTGGTACCGCGGCCGATCTGGAGGTCTTGAAACCCGCTGAGCCATTGGATCTCGCCATCATCAACTCTGTGGCGCAGTACTTCCCCTCGCTGGACTACCTGCTCAAAGTGATCTTGGACCTCATCCACGTGCAAGATCCCAAGTGCATCTTTTTCGGAGATGTTCGCTCGTATGCTTTGCATGCACAGTTCCAAGCCAGCAACGTGCGCCATCTCTACGGTCACACTTTGACAGCGCCGCAATTCCGGATGCGAATGGCAGAAGTCGCCCGCTCTGAGCGAGAGCTTTTGGTTGATCCAGCTTTCTTCACTTCCTTGGCCGAAGAATTGCCGGACCTCATCGCGCATGTCGAAATTCTTCCTAAGAAGATGAAAGTCACGAATGAGCTTAGCTGCTATCGATACGCTGCTATCCTCCATGTCAATCGGCCTGGTCGGCCGCCGTTGGATGTTCAAGGGGTCGATGAGAGCTCATGGATTGACTTTGAAAGGCAGGGATTAAACTCAAAATCCCTCGCGCGACGTTTGCAAACCCCAGAATGCTCTGATGTTCTGGCTGTGAGCAACATCCCTAACAGGAAGACCATCGAAGAGCGCTTCTTGCTTGATGCCCTCCAATTCTCGAAGCTAGCAACCAGTGATGTGGGGTGGAGCGAGCAAGTCTGCAGGCAAGCCCAAGCTTGCCCAGCACTGGCAGCCCTCGATCTCGTGGATCTTGCTCATCAGACCGGGTGGGATGTGGAGATCAGCTGTGCGAGACAAGGCTCGCAACAGGGTGGACTGGACGCCATCTTCCACCGTCGTGCTTCCACCCGGGGACCAAGGCGGGTGCTCTTCCGATTCCCAGCTGATCACCACGCACCAGGCCCGATCGGGGTCTTTGGTAACAATCCGTTGAAGTTGCCACGGAACCACCTGGTTGAAACCCATCTTCTGGATACACTGCGTGCTAAGTTGCCATACTATATGGTCCCCCGGCTGGTTCGTGTGCTAGAGCAGATGCCAGTGAACAATGTCGGTAAGGTGGACAGAAAAGCTCTTTCGCAACGGAATGACATCAGTCCGTTGATTGCAAGCACCACAAAGTCTGAATCGGCGTCCAGACGAGAGGCTTCATCGTTTGCAAATGATTCCGAGCGTGTTCTATGGGAAGAGTTCACCGACATGCTTGGGGTAGACGTGGGGATCAATGACAGCTACTTCGATCTCGGTGGTCACTCTTTGATGGCCATCAAGCTCATTTCGAGGATCAACAAGCGACTTGGATCGAGTCTTCGCGTCAGTGATCTGTTTCAGTATACCACGGTCGCTCGGCTCGGGCAGTTGTTGCAAGAGTTTGATAGTCCTCCATCTAACGGTGTCCTTATCGACACCTACAAGCCATTCTCCCTGCTGAGCGATAGCGTCAGTTCGCCTCAGGACCTTACCTCATTGCACTGGGAAGAAATGCAGCTGCCATCAGGTGCTGTGGTCGTGGATATTTTCCCTGTCACCGAGTGTCAGGCTTGGTTTTTGGGGGATTGGAGTTTGGTGTCACACTCTTTTGAGATTCAGGGAGATCTCGACCTCGCCGGGTTGGAGTCCGCCTGTCAGGCAGCGGTACGGCGACATGCAGTCCTGCGCACCGTGTTCACCACACTGCAGGGACATCCCGTGCAGGTTGTCTGTCAATCCGTCGACGTGCCGTTTACACAGGAAGCAACAGAGCGTTTGGTGGAGTCGGGCTGCAAGGTCAACAACGGAGAGCAAGCATTGATCCCGTCGCGGGTGACCACTCGATTCAATCTCACATCGCGCCCTGGAAGAAATGACTATATGTTCACCTTGCAATTGTGTCACGCGCAATATGATGGGCCCTCCTTGTTCACCATTCTGTCCGACATAACCTCTTTGTACCAGGCTCCATCCTCCTTGCCGCCGACCAGCACTGTGTCCTTCTCCCGATACCTTCAGGCATCCCGAGTCTCCCGCGCCAATGGATCCTTGGACTTCTGGAAAGAGTATCTCGCTGGCTCATCGGGGCTGACAGCCGTCTGTCCTTCCGCCATCGTGGAGACAAACGATCATTCACCTCACAACACCGTCCAAGAAGCGAGTGGTGCATTGCCTCCATTGTCAGATGTCACATTCCCCACATTGGTCAATGCCGCCATCGCGCTCTGTCTGGGCAATCTCACCAAAACGCAGGATGTCACCTTCGCGTGTGTGATGAGCTCACGCGATGTGCTCGCTACTGCCGATCCCCAAGCCGAGCTCGTTGGCCCGTGCATCAACCGCACCTTACTTCGCGTCCAACTCCCCGAAGTCGACTCAACCTCAGCTCTGGAATTCTGTCGCCAGCTGCGCGACATTCAAGCCCGTGCTGCGGGTGGAGGACATCTGTCACTGGCAGATGTGTTGGAGAGCTCTACCGACTGGCTGCCTCCGTCTTCTGGGACTTTGGCCGCGGAAAAACTCTTGAAAGAGACGCCTTTCATCACGCATCTGCCTGCCGACACCGCCACTCCATCTTTCCATTTGAGCGAAGATCTTGATGTGGCATGGAAGTCAACAGATGTCCGCATTGATCCTGGAAACCAGGTGCTTGTGCGGTCCACTACTTCCACCGTAGACAACGGGATGGACGCCTGCATCCAAGTCCAGACGTCCGACACAGTGCTCAACTCCGAGGATGCTTTGGCGCTGGCTGCTCACATCTTGAAGATGGTGCAGCTCCTCTCAGTTGCTCCTGAGGTGCTTGTTCGAGATATCTTGCTTGAAAAGGGTTGAATTGCACAACTTGTCAATAATTTCCAGGGACCGATCGATTGTTTTACCTTGGGATACCAAGGAGCTAATATTTGTTCGTGTTTAATCGCGAAAAGGACCTAATTTCGGTAGTGAATAACAACGCAGCACTTTATACCGAGTATCACTATTTCACTGTTGCGGAGCGAAACGATGCAATATAGTTTCATAGAATCCTTCCAACGTTCTCTCCTACATACGCCACGTCACAACACTCATCCAGCCATTCCGGGTAAGTTCGCATTGTCAAGAAACGGCTGAAAACTACCGTAGATGGGCGGGAGACCCTCGGAGCAGTTAGGCAATAACCGTTTAGAAGTACGGAGCAAAGCACTCCTTCGCTTCTGATGTTGTCTCTGCGTATGCTTCAAGTGCTTCAACCAACATGCATCAGACATTAATCTTGTCAATGCGGGTGTAACACTTACAGGAAGAAACAAGTCAAATGCTCTGGTCAATACCCATGCATTTACCGTGCGCGCCGAAATCTCGAATTCACATTTCCGATGTCAGCAGACAAGCGTCCCAATTTTGTTGTTGGAGGCGTACCTCGCTCCCCAAAGCCAGGTTCAACATCTTACCCGTTGTATCTGATGCGTGAGGAATAGCAATGTCCGGGAGCTTCAGGAACGCCTGGCATTGTATGTGCCTCAGGCTCAGAAATTGGGAGGTCAGCATCTCTGTTTCCTTGCAATCCGATTTAATCTCACGACTCTGAAGATGGGGAACATATCGATACACAGCGATCCGCTGTTATATCAACTCCCACACAAATAGAAGACCCAGGTCCACCACAGCTCTGTACAGCGGGAAAGAATACACAGGAAACATCTTCTACGCCATCATATACGCCAAACGGGGCTTCCGGAACTGAAGGCTCCTCGCAAAGTTGGTTACATGCTATGAACCTCCATCTTCGCTGTGCTGAATGCCTGTCTAGGAATCGAAACGCACTTTGCCCTCGGCTCAAGTCAAAACTTTGGGAATCGAATCCAAGATATATTGGAGCACCTGACTCCATCCACACGAAAGCCAACCACACCAAAAATACCAGCCCCGTACTCAAACGCGAACGATGGAGCGCTATTCCCAGAGCATCGCATTCCCCTGCGTCTATGTTCCGACCATGGCTCTTTTGTCCATCTGAATTTCCCGGTGGTAGAGAAAGGCATTCAACTACTGGATACAGTTTTGCTCTACCTTGGCGACGCCCAACATTTCTTCGATGCTCCGAATCTCCTAGACCAGATGATGATGCTTTACAGGAATAATTTTGATGATGCACAGAGAACCAGCATCTGGTATTTGCACATACTTCTGGTGTTGGCAATCGCCAAACTCCTCCGGGGAGAATTGGACGATGTAGATGACCCCCCGGGATTTGCCTTCTTCGACGAAGCGCTCCAGTTGCTCCCCAGTGTCAGTGAAATCAGAACTCCCGGGATTGACGGAATCGAGGTTTTAGCACTTATGGCAGTCTAATACTAGCTACCTCGGCACTGAGCAATTGACTGATCATATTACACAATTGGAAGATTTCCGAGCGAGAGTTTGGCAGCATATCTTTCCATGGATGTCCGGATTTACCACTCTTGCCGCACGGTGTTAACCTGTCAGGGGGCAGGCATTTCATTCATGACAGATTCATCTCAAACGCGGGGAAGTTTGCCAATGTTATGGAATGGCTTACTCTAATGCTACAGATCTAGATCACGTTGAACCCAATACAGGCTTCTCTGAAACATGAAATGTTCATTTAGTAATGCTTCAATATGTACCAGGCATTCTCATTCTCGATGATGGTCTGAACAACCAACTTTTGCAGGCGAATATCTCCCCCGCGCATGATGATTGGACTGTGAGATTTACGTTAGCACCGTGGGCGAGAGGGTATCTTGAACTTGAGTTTACCCAAAGTAGTTAACTATGATTTCAATCGACATGTCGTTCTCGACTGGGTCTTCTGAAGCTGAAATCTCAACAAGGTGCTGTGCCATAGTTAGCATAAAATCATCTTCCGAACTGCACTTCAAGAACGTACTAGAAAAAGGGCCCGGAAAACTACCCAGTGCGAAGCAGGGAGACGGTCAACAAGAGCTTGTAGCGCGTTACGACGTCGATCATAATTGTCAAACTCTATGCTGATGGGTCAAAGAGAGGCAAAGGTTGGGATAGAAATGGGGAAGAACCGACTAGCAGCATTGATAAACTGAAAATGAAACGCTGATGGAATCAAAGGTTCAGGAAGTTGCCTTAAGAATTCTTTGACAAGACTTGCGACGTTGTGAATATCGTGGTAAAAGTTTTCTGGGACGGAAAGGTCTACGGCCGAGGCATCTAATCAATTATTAGCAAACACCACTCGAAAATGCCATTAGAAAGCTCACCAGTCTCAAAAGCATTTTTCAACTGGTTAATATGGGCGGCATTTCCCCAGAGCTGGTATATTGTCTTGTCATTCAATCCAAATTCTTCAAGAGCAATGAAACACTTTTGCAGTATCAGTGGGACACCAGGCCCAACACGGTCATGTAAATCCTGTAGAGACACCCCGAAAATTGGGATGAAGCGATTTTGGTGATACTGTAGAACACTTGTTCCTGCTACCGACGCATGCAGCACTTGAGTCGATCCATCGAATTTGCTAAGGGAGTATGAAAATGACCGTGCATCTGGATTTTGGGCGTTGTCATGTGTGCTTGACCAAGTGTTAGAAGCCGGATGGTTGAAGATGTGCTCACTCTTGGTCCGTCTTTCAACTAAGGTGCCACTTTTTGAAATTAGTAGTCTTTCCTGATGATCACTGTGGCTCTATGATGATGCGTTTACCTTTCAGAGGCACCAGGCTCAGAAAGCCAAGGGTGAGTAAGGACATAGTCGATCGTCGATCGTCGCGCAGGAATATCTTGCATCGTGTGCCGTACAAAGTCCACACAGTACGCGCTCGAATCCTGCAGCGGCTTGATCGGAAACACTTTGTGGTCATTGGCATAGGCTCGTAAACTTGCAGGAGTGAGGAAAGGAGGATTGCCTGTTCGCAAGCAGAATGCGACGGCCCCGAGTGACCACACGTCGACAGCTGGTGTGTAATGTTCTGGGTCGTCCTTTACTAGCTCTGGCGCCATGTACCCATGAGTTCCAATCCCGAGCGTCCCAAGCGCAGTGCCGTTAGTATCCTTGGAAAGTCCGAAATCGGTGACTTTGACGTGCCAGTTGGGACCCGGATGAGAGACTAGAATGTTCTTCAATTTAGTTAGTATAGCCCACATAAAGCTGGTTGGAGCAAATACCAAGGGTTTGATGTCTCTGTGAACAAAATGCCGGTCATGCATGTATTTCAAGGCTTGAGCGACTTGGGTCACGATTGATACAGCCTGGCGGTCGGGTAGAGGTGAACCTGTATAACCCTCAAGGTCACCATTTTGCACATATTCCATCGCAATATAGACAAAGTCTTTATCGTCAAACCAGCCCTGGAATTGGACAAAATGCTGTCTGTACTGCAATACTGTCAGTAAGTTGGCAATGCATAGTTATTGTTCGTCTCTACCTCGCTGATTCTGGGGTTGGAAAATGTTACAAGGGCATGAAGCTCCCGCGTCGACATTTTTAAATGTCGTTTGTAAATATGTTTGACGGCTCGGAGGGCATTTTGAGAAGGCCCTGATACACAGCGTTCTCGCCAGACACCACAACTCGCACCTTCTCCTATGGGTTTTTCCAATCGCCAACACTCATCGCCGGAGGGTCGCTGATGGTGCCGTTGTCCGGCATCATCGTAGGAGGTTTCCAACTTCCAACCCCATATGGGACTGGCTTCTAACGCATCCATCGAGGGTCAGATCCTTTGGAGAGGTGAGGAATTTAGAAAGCAAACGATTGAACGAGGGGGTTTTATTTTCAGCCTCGGCAAATGCAACTAGTTTGAAATGGCGTCTTACTGCGTCAAGTTTCGGCCCCCGGGTTTCCTACTGTACAAAGGAGCTCCTTGTCCGTCTCTCCCTCTCTCTGTCTTTCTCTCCTCTTCTGTATCTCGCAAGCCCGAAGAAGCATTGTCAACCCAGGGGTATTCCTCACACAAGATCGGCTATAGGAAGTGACATGTCTGGGTTGACTTTGACAGGGGGGGGGTTATTTGTTTGTTGTTTGTACGGAGTACCTCCGTAGGAACTCCATAATAATAGAAATCCCTTGTCAAGTTCTACCCAATGAGAAATCGAAAATCAAGGGTCTCCTCTTCCATGCATCGTGGAATAATTGGTACTTCCCCAAGGGTTTATGTCGCGAAGCGGCACAGGTGCATCTATCAGCAGTGTACCGCCACCACTTGCTGGCCACGATTTACCACATTGCTATATGTATGCAGATTCATATGTGGAAACTGCCCCTGCAAGTAGAGGATAAAGAATCACTGAAACAAATCTCTGGGTATATAGCATCATTGTTGGGGCTACTAGACCAAGGAAAGAGAGAGCAAAGACTTGATTTGACTGAGCTGAGGAAGGAAGGAAGAAGCAAGACTACTGAAGGGCAACTAAGAAACAACGGGATCATGTGCCCAGCCCTAAGGCCACATGACTCACGACAATCATCCAGCATTCGCAGCGAAATCTTATGGAGCGTCCTCAAAATTCCCTCAAGAAATTGAGCCGCAATAAAATCGCCGCTCTCCACCCCCGAACCAAAGTCGTCATTGTTGTCATCTAGACACGTCAAAAACGACAGCACTATTTGCGCATATCTATCGCCCATACGCTGGGAAAGCCGAGTATGTGCCCGTTCCCTCAAATACTCCTTGAGCTGGAATGCCACGGCGAAGAATGAAGGTCTCGCGCCTTTGTGACTACTCTAATTTCGGACGTTATAGTAGACTTTGCCGAATTTGGCCTGGGGAAGACCATGAAAGTCGGCTTGGTTGGTGTACTCGACGAATGACTCCCAGAGGCCAACCCCAAGTAGACAAACGCCAAGACGGTAGATAT